AGCAGATATATTTTTCTGATAAGCTACCCTAGCTCTCTTTTAGTTACTATTTGTATTAAATATATATATTTCCATCCTTTCACTTTCAAGCTCTTTGTGTCTTTGGGTCTTACGTGAGTCTTATAGACAGCATATAGATGAATCCATGTTTTGATCCATTCCACCAAGTTCTGCCTTTATATTGGACAATTTACTCCACATACATTTTAAAATAATTACCAATTCAAAAGGAATTATTTCTGCCATTTGGCTGTATGTTTTCTGTATGTCCTATGTGTTATTTTCCCTCCATTACTGGCTTATTTTGTATTTGATTTTTTTGTGTGTAGTGCACCATTTTTATTCCTTTTTGTTCTGTAATTTAAAATAATTTTCTTAGTGGTTACCTTGAGAATTACAATTAGCATACTTAAACTTATAACAACCCTGTTTGAATAATATCAATTTAGTTTCAATAGTATTCTCTACTCCTATTCTTTTATATAATTATCATCACAGATTGTACTTGTTTGTATACAGTGTGCCCATAAACATATGTTTATCGTCATTATTTTATCATTGTCTTTTATATATTCTAGGAGAACAAGGGGGAGTTAGAAACCAAAAATACAATTTTACTGGCTTTCACATTTACTTATGTAGTTGTTGTTACCAATGTGCTTTGTTTCTTCACATGGCTTTGAGTTATTGTCTAGGGTCCTCTCATTTCAGTTTATTTTTTTAATGTTTATGTTTGAGAGAGAGAGAGAGCACGAGCAAGGGAGGGGCAGAGAGAGAGAGGGATACAGAGGATCCAAAGCAATTTCCGTGCTGACAGCAGAGAACCCAATATGGGGCTCAAATTCAGGAACTGTGAGATCATGACCTGAGCCAAAGTAGGGCACTTAACTGATCAAGGTACCCAGATGCCCCTCATTTTAGTTTAAAGTACTCCCTTTAGCATTGCTTGTAGACAGATCTATTAGTAACAAACTCCTTTAGTTTTTGTTAACTTGGGAATGTCTTAATTCCACTTTTACTCCTGAAGGATACTTTTGCCAAATATAGAAATCTTGGTTGACAGGTTTTTTGTTTTTTTTTTGTTTTTGTTTTCCTCTCAATACTTTGAATGTGTTATCCCACTGCCTTCTGGTCTCCGTGGCTTATGAGAAACAAGCTGTTATTGAGGATTCCATGTACATAGTAAGTCATTTCTTTCTTAGTAATCTTAAGATTCTTTGGTTTTGGCTTTTGACAATTTGACTATAATGTGCCTCAGTGTGGCTCTCTTTGAGTTTATTCTGCTTGTGATTCTTTGAGCTTCTTGGATGTGTAGATTAAGGAATTTCATTATATTTGGGAAGTTTTCAGCCATTATTTCTTCAAGTGTTCTTCCTTTTCCTTCAGGAATTCCCATAATGCATATGTTGGCCTAAATGATAGTGTCCCAAAGATCCCATAGACTCTGTCCACTTTTGTTCTTTTTCTTTCTTATTTCAACTCCTAAGACAGGAAACTTCTTACTGGCCTATCTTCTAGTTCACTGATTTTTTTCTTCTGCCTGCTCAAATTTGTTTTGAACCTCTCTAGTGAATATTTCAATTCAGTTATTGCATTTTTCAGCTCTGGGATTCCTAGTTGGTTTATTGTTAGTTTCTCTTTATTCATATTCTCATTTTGTTCATACATTATTTTTCTGATTTCCTGATTTCCTTTAGTTTTTGTCCCATTGTTTCCTTTAACTCTTTGAGCATATTAAGACAGTGATTTAAAGTCTTTATCCAGTAAGTCCAATGTCTGGGCTTCCTCAGGGATGGTTTCTGTCAACTTTTTTTCCTGTGAATGGACCATATTTTCTATTCTCTGATTTTTTTGTTGCTGTTATTGAAAATTGGACATTCAATTATTACAGTGTGGTAACTCTGGAAATCAGATATTCCCTTTTCCCCAGGGTTTGCTTTTGATTGGTGAAGACTTGGTTTGTGTTAAGCCAATGTTTTAACTAAGACTTCCTTGAAAGTCAGGAGTTGAAAAACAACAACAAACCACTTCTCCAAGTCTTTGTAGATTGACTCTGTGCTGCAGCATTTCAAACACTTAGCCAGGCCTTTTACAATTCTGTCTCAGCCTTAACTTCCTGTTTGTACTGAGCCTACCTATCAGCCAGCAGTGAAAACACAGGTTCTCTCAAATATTTTCCAAATATGTATCCCCAGTATGCATTACTGCTTTTGAATGCCCCAATTTCCCCAGGAAAATCCCCCTCCCCAGCTTTTCCTCCCTGGCTTTAGGTGCTCCATTGTATGTCTCAAACATAATCTTTGGCCTCAGACAGCAGTGGGGTTTTTGATCACCATGCAATGTTATTCTTTTAATGTGCATTTATTTTTGAGAGAGAGACAGAGAGCATAAGCAAGGAAGGGGCAGAGAGAGAGAGGGGACAGAGGATCCCAAATGGACGCTGTATTGATTGCAGAAAGCCCAGGGTGGATCTCGAACTCATGAACTGTGAGATCACGACCTGAACAGAATTGGACGCTTAACCAACTAAGCCACCCAGGTGCCCACCATACAGTGTTTTTAATCAATGCCCAACACCTTTCTTCCCTGAGTTGTCTCCAGGTTTGGTGAAATAGAGATGAGTGCCTTGTGTTATCCTTCAGGTAGCCTCTAGATAGGTTAGAACAGAAAAACACACAGTAATTTGCAAATGGTATCTGTTCTATTCTCTCTGGAGCCAGAGACAAGGGTTACACACCAGGAATAGGCTGTGATCTTCAAGACTGTCACCATGCTGGGGAAGTGTAGGGTACATTAAAATGTCACAAAACGATATCATTTTTAAGTTGGCTTTTTGTTGATTCAGCACACACCTGGCTGTAAACCTTTGGTGTTTTCCAGAGTTCTGATAAAGTTGGTTCTGACAGCTTCTGGTTGTTTATTCCTGCGGAAGGATGGGAGCTTGGAGCCGCCTGCGTCACCATCTTGCTGACATCACTCCAATGGAGCCCTCTTGACCCGCCCCTGCTCTGAGGGCCACACTTATTCTTAACTCAGATGCCTTCTTCCCAACAGGACCAGAACAGAACTCATATTTTCTTCCAACCTACTTCTCTCTTCTGGGTTCTTTGTCTGGAAATGGTTAGGTCATTTCCTCAGTTACTCAGCCCAGGAAGCTTTTATTTTTCCCACTTATTTGGTAGAGTGGTAGTCAGTCATCAAGTCTTGATGACTTCTAACAATTCTCCTATCATTCCCCTTATCACCAACTCACCATTTCTACCTTAGTTCGGGTTGCTGTAATCTTTCATGTTATTTCAATGCCTCCTGCCTGGAGAGCCTGCATCTCATTTTCCCTCTCCATCTCCTCCATGGAGCACTTACCCCTATGTGCTTACCCCCTAAGAACCGTAGAACACATGTTAATTTTCTATCTCCTTCTTTTAGAGTTCTAGAGTTTCAGGACAAGGACTGTGTACATTCAGTCTTGCAACAACGTCTGGCATATAGCAAGAGCTGCATAACTTATTCTTGAATGTCTAAAACAGGCCAACAATACCTTAAGGTGATATGATAGAGTATAGTAGATATGGTATCGTAGACATAGTAAGACAGAAACAAGCAACGTGTCTTTATACATAAGCATCAAGTGTATGCATATATGATAGTTTCGAAACTTTTAAAACTGAATTCTTGGGATGGGCTCAGTCAGTTAAGCGTGGACTCTTGGTTTCGGCTCAGGTCATGAATTTGCAGTTTGTGACTCTGAGCCTCGGGTCTGGCTCTTCACTGACAGTGCAGAGCCTGCTTGGGATACTCTCTCTCCCCCTTTCTCTTTGCCCCTCCCCCACTCACTCTCTCTGTCTCTCTCTCAAAATAAGTAAACTTAAAATTAAAAAAAATAAATAAAAAAGCAACAACACTGAATTCTCTTTCTTGCTTCCTTACCTCTGATTTTGAAAATCCTCCTTATTTCTCAAGACTGATTTCATTCCTTACCTTCTCCAATGCCTAACCATCAAACATACACCTGTCAATTCAGCACTTAATTATACAGTAATTTGAAATCCTCTATATTATTCATAATGCTCCCCTCATCAAAAAAGGAGGGATATGCAGATGTTAGCATAGATCTACACCAGATTGCTAACATCTATCCCCACGTAGTCATCCATCAGTGACATGTTTAATAATGTACTGTCCCATAGTGATTATAATCAGATGTTGTTTCTGTGAGTTTTGTCTTCCCCATTAGATTTGCCCTTTCCTGAAGGTAACAACCTTCACTCAGCCATATTTTTTGTATCAACCAAGAACCTACAGTTCAAGCAGACACACGATACATATTTTCCCAACATAAATGTTTATGGGTTGTACACTCATGCCTCGGTCTGTAATTGAGTGAGACATATGGAATGAGACTCCCTTTGCCCAAATTTATTTTTATTTTATGCATCTAATATTTTCATACAATGTACTTATACCTGGAGAAATATAGCCTAAATGACAATATTAAGGGAAAAAGGTACTCTTCTCTCCCCAAGGAACCTGGCTGGGTGTGGATGGGTTTCTCCACTTCACACTGCTTGCTCATTATGTTCTGGATACTGACTCTCAGTTTGGGTCATCCAAGGGGGGGACAACCCTCGACATGTGAAGAGGCCATATACAGTCCTATTCCAGTCAGCAGTCAGAGCCACACAAGTGTATGCGAGCCCGCTTTAAAAATAAAGAAGGAAAGTAGGTTTTATGGGAAAAGTCACTTAACTTAGGCTCTGTCTCCCACATGGCCCAGGACAGAAAAGTTTTCAAGCTTCCTATCAACAGCTAAGCAAACTCAATCCATATACATATTATGTAGCTTCAAGGCTGTTATGGAATAGCACAGTGTGTCTGGCAAGAAATAAAATTTGATTCAGACATATGGGAAAAGTTCTGGTCCTTCTGGGACAGTCTCGTCCTGGGCTCAATCACAGTAACAAGCAAAGAAAAGAAAACAATCATTTAAAAGGTACCGTACTTTAGTTTCCCTCAGGGTTCTCGGGAACCAACACTTCAAACATTTGATTGATGGTCTCCATTGCTTCATGGATATTAGATGATCCATGGACAGCATTTTTCAAAACACTTGTTCCAAACTGGGCTCGGATAGAATCTGGGGACAGTAGTTTTGCTTCATCTGGGTCTACAGGACCCATCAATCGTCTCCAGTCTGAAACAGCATTCCACTTGGTCAGAATCATGACCAAAGACAGACCTCTGCAAAGAAGAATGCTTTCAGAAGATTTTGGCTATTTACACCTGTAGAGATTGCATACACAGCTAAACACAGAATGCCACACTTGGTCTTTATTCTTTGTCCTTGTCAGTGTGATTTTGTGGGGTTTTTTTAAGTTGTTTTAAATGTTAATTTGTTTTTGAGAGAGAGAGAGAGAGAGAGCACACATTAGTGGGGGAAGGGGCAGAGAGAGAGGAGACAAAGAATCCCAAGCAGGCTCCATACTGTCAGCACGAAACCCAGTTGATCTCACAACACAGGGCTTGATCTCACGAACCATGAGATCATGACCTGAGCCCAAATCAAGAGTCAGACGTTTAACCAACTGAGCCACCCAGGCGCCCCTTGTACTTTCTGTTTTTCCATTTCTCCCCCTTCCAACAGGGTTTTGTGCTGCATGAGTGCTATAGGTTAAGTCTAGAGATATATGTCAGACACTGTTCCAAGTATGTCCAATGTACTAATTATATAACCCTCACAACAAACCTATGAGATGGATACTATTATTATCCCCATTTTATAGATAAGGCAATCAAGGCACAGATTAAATATGTTGGCAAAACAGAAACTTAAAACCAGAAATTGAAACCCATATCACCTCTATATAATGTTGAAGACCTACAGAAATAGAGGAAGAAAGGAAGGAAGGAAAGAAGGAAGGAAGGAAGGAAAGAAGGAAAGAAGGAAGGAAGGAAGAAAAGAAGGAAAGAAAGAAGGAAAGAAGGATGGGTAAGGAGAAGGGAAGGAAGAAAAGAGAGAAGAAGATAGAGAAAGAAGAAAACAAAGAAGAATGAACTCCAAATATTAACAGGGTGTCTTGGAATGAATGAAATTAGATGGAATGTTTTCATTACATTTTGTATTTTTCAGTTTCTATAATGAATATTTACTACTTTTATCGTGCAAAGGACTATATATCAGAAACTTACTCAGATAACACTTCCAATACATCTTTATAAAAGTCTTTTCTTTTTATTTTTGAGTAAATTTTGTCTGCTGCTTCTTCATTTAGGAGCATTTCCTTCATCTGTGTGATTTCAAATCCAGCCTCTTTAATATATTTCAAGATCTCCTCTAGGGGAAAAGAGATATTTGGTAATCTTGCAGAATGCCTCCACTTTTGTTCCATGTTCAAGTAGACTGAAATAACTATGGAAAGTAATCAATTTACTTGCATAGTGTGGCTTAAAAAGCAAAAACTATGCAAAATGAAATTGAACTGAAAAGCACCATGTTAATACATTAATGCAGATGTTCAATCTCTGAGGTGCACCTTTCCAGGATGCACTGACAACATCTCATAGACTATAAGGAAAGGGGAAGGGATGTGCCTCTGTGCCGAAAGTGAATTCATGTTTTCACGTCCATGCTACAAATGTCAAGGAACTCCTTGCTAGATATGGATTGAAGCAGGGAGCCGATCTGAACTCTTCTCTCTGAAGTAGCAAGGCATCATGGAGGGAATTGAATAAAGTAAATCTTGTCAAAATCTCACCAGCCGCCTAACCTTTAAGGGCTACATTTAGTGAGCCAACTGAGGGATTGGGCGCTTTCTGGTAAAACAGTCTTTTCTTTGGTCCAACACTTAGAAGTGTTGTGCTGGTTGCTAAAGGTCAAGTTGGGCATGACCAATAGAAAGACTGAAGAAGGCTGGACTTCTATAAGGGGGGTCACCAGGATCTGCCCTAGGTGGGGGGCACTGTGGGAACAAATGTGAATGGAACATTAACACTTCTTCTAGATATTGTCTGCTTAGAGGGCCTGGCCTGGAAACACAGCTTGTAAAGAAAGAGCAATACATAAAGGCTCCTGCAACCACAGACAAGTAAACCATTAACTCTCTCTGGGAAGGTCAGAGATGACTTCCAGAAAGGCCAATCTTTGTGTTAAGCACAGAAACGGTAAGAGATGATCACCAAGCAGACAAGTAGAGAAAGAACATTGTAGGCACAGTGCAGAATTTCAAAAAAATAACGTTAATGACAACACTATGCATTAACATTTATGAGAGGGGCGCCTGGGTGGCTCAGTCAGTTAAACGTCTGACTTCGGCTCAGGTCATGATCTCACAGTTCTTGAGTTCAAGACCTGCGTTGGGCTCTGTGCTGACAGCTTCATAAAAAATGTGTCTCCTTCACTCTCTGCCCCTCCCTGGCTTTCTCTCTCTCTCTCTCTCTCTCTCTCTCTCTCAAATAAATAAACATTAAAAAATTTTTTTAATAAAATAAAATCTATGGGATAATCAGAAGATTAAACCAGTAATCAAGGAAAACATATAACTTCAAAATTTTACATTGACAAAAATAAGATAATGAAAATAAATGAATTAAAGATCTAATTTAAAAAGCTAGAAGAACATTTTTTAAAACTACTAGAGAATCAAAGGAAGGTGAAAATTAAAAAAAAAAAAACAACAACAGAAAGTAATGAGTTAGAAAAAGAGAACTAACTACTAAATAAATCAAATTCTATTTGTTTGAGAGACAACAAACTAAGAAATGACAGGGTAGAAATAACCATTGAAACCAGGCCCAGAAATTTTCATGGGAAAGATTTCATGGGAAATCTTCAAATAGCAATCCCACTGCTGCTTAAACTCCTCCAGAGTGCCAAAAACAAAGACATTCACATTTTTTATGAAGTATTACATTGTTATTTAACCTTCCACAAAAAAAAAATGAAAAGGACGGACCAATATCATTGTCAGTCTCAATGTGAAAAATCCCAAATAAAATATATGCAACTAGAATCCAAAAGCACATTTAAAAAATACCTCACGATTAAGTGTAATTTATACAGGAATGGAAGAATGACTTGATATTAGAAATATCATTAATATGATCTTTCGTGGTAATATATCTATGGAGAAAAACATTGTCATCTCCATCAACTCTAAAAGGACTTGAACAAAATTCGTCATCATTTTGATTATGAGGGAGACAGAAAGAAGGATGAGGGAAGGAGGGAGACAGAACAAATATGACAAGAGCTAATTGTTACATCGAGATCAAGGGATATGGGTGTTCATTGCATAGTTTGAAAATTTTCACAAAATTTGAAGGGGATGTATACATTGACTTTCATTTCCAAATATTTACCTCTTTGTTCCTGTGTTACATGAGGTTTAATCAGTGCTAAAGTCTGTTGAGGAGGAAAGAAATATTGTATTTCCTTTTCAGCAGTTTCTAACGAATCACTTCCATACAGCTGGTTGATAGGCAAACCTTCCACTGCAAATTGCACGCATAAGCTTTGAAAATGAAGTCAAGAACTATTAGAGCATCACATAACACAGTATAAGCCAACACAACAGAACACTATTTATATGAGTTGTTCAAAAGTTATCAAGCAACTCATTCCTGATCTAGACATTATGCGAAAGGCAATAATGACAGAGTAGCTTGGAGCATACTACTTCCTTATAAGGAGGTAACAGTCATCAGGAAGACAGAGCATGAACATTTAAATAACCACGATGTGAATATTCACAGCTGACTCTGAAAGAATGAACGGATGCCTTGGTGCGGTGAAAATGCAGACTGTACAATCCCGGTTGCACTACTCGCTAGCTATGTGTCATTGGGCAATTACTTAACCTCTCTGTGCTTGAACCGTCTCAAATACAAATAATAAAACTGTTCTGGAAGGAGATTTTTGAGGGTGGAATCAGATGATACATTTGAAACATATGGCGCCTATTAAGCTCTCCATATTCATTTCCCTTCTGTCATCACTAAATATTATTGAGCTCTAGAGATGGCATTTGACTCTATAACGTGGATCCCGAATCACAAACACTGAATCCAAAAGATACCGCAATGGAACCGTCCAGCAGAGCAAGTACGGTGATAAAAGAGGAGCATACAGGATGGGTTCATGTAAAGAGGCAAGAGTGAGGTTGATGGTACTGGGTATGTTGGGTTAGGCAGTTTATTCTGGATCTGCTTCCTCTACCATAGAGGAATACATACACTTCCTAAATCAATTGTTGCTCCTTGATGTTTTTTTCAGTTGCCCTTTTTCCTGTCTCTTTATCTATATATGGTTCAGTAGAGGATACACACACTGCTTATTTCATTCTCTGCCCTTTACACATAGTCCTGAATTGCCAACCCACAAAATCCAGCCACAGCGAATAATGTCCTTTCCTGTTAATGACCTGACTTTACTGGTCATTGGCTTTCGGTCCTCAGACCCTCTTCTTGCCTCTCTGCTTTTACTGATGCATTCAGATTTCCTTTTTGCCTTATCCGACTTGAACATCCCACTTGATCCTTGGCGGTTCTCTCACCTCTGATTTGAAGACGTTTGCAACCCAAGACCCTTGGAGCCTGGGATTCCAGGGTTAGGGGATTTGCACAATGAATGTATAAGGTGTCACCTAACATATCACCAGCACTTACTCTGTTCACTGCAGAGAACAACCAGCCCCTCCGTGGTGCCGTTAGACATGATTATTGAGAAAAGTGTGTGTGAAGGGGAGGATAGGACAGAGGGAGTAGGTGATGAGTGTGAGGGTTGCTGTGTTTCTCCTTTATGCAAGTGACCTTATTTCAGATTAAGCCAGGCAGTGCTGAATCTGACCCAAGTGAAGGAAAGGGCAGAGCTCTGCTGAGTTATTCTAACAGCAACCTGAAGGAACTGGGTGGAGCCACGGAAACTGGGAAAGGAGGAACCAAAAATAACGGTCAAGATTAGCTGTGAACTTGTAGCAACATAGGGGGCATAAGGGCTTTGGTTGGAATCCTCACAATAATAGTGGGGTAGGGAGGAACAGTTACTGAGTGCCTGCCTTCACCGGGAGAATGCACCTCCGTGCTGGTGCACTACCTTCACACTTGAAACTGTAATTTCTAGAACAGTATGGCTAGAAGTGTAGGCCTTGTGTTGGTAGGAATTCCTGTCTCGAATGCTATACCTTGCCTTTTATGCTACGTTTCATTAAGTGATTCTATGGCATTCTGCTCATACTACTTATAGACTGTCTAACCCTATTATCCTTTATGGTAATTGTAGGGCTAAATAAGGGGTAAAATGTGTCCATGCAGAACAAGTCAGATTCCAGATATCCTACCCAAAAGAAAACATTTCAACGGTTACATGTGATGCTTCATTAGTACTGTTATTTATTATACCAACACGTATGGCAAGTTTTCTGTATCTGATGGAGCATCTCTGTTCTTGCTCACTTGAAGGATGGGCCTTTCCTCTCCTGAATTGATTCCTACCAAGGCCAAGAGATGGGTACACCACTTACTTCCCATCCCCACACCAGGCATCCCAAAACCTTCATCTGCAAAGCCTTGGCTCTATTTGAGCTGCCATTGGGCTGGGCCTCCAGTCACAATCAGGGAAAGTAGTTTTTCGAGAGCCTCTCTTGGACTGGAGCTGTGGCTCTTGTACCCGCATCCAAAATAAAATTAAAGTGTCTCCCATGAAAAAAGTTTGGGACCCACGGTATGAATCCTACCTCTCTGGAAGAGATGTCTTGGCTTTTTCAACACTGCTGGGCCCAATTAACTCTTTCCAGTGTTGTAAACAATTGTCTCTCAATAAAACAAGGGCTAGAGATGGACCGCTGTTAAAAGAAAAAAAAAGCTGTATATTATGGCTCAGTAGCTAAATATGTATAGATAATACAAGTCGAGATAATTCTTTTACCAAGACTAAGACTAATTTCCATCGGTGTACTCCCAAGAGTATATTGAGCACCTTATACAAGTATGGAAGCAGACTAGGGAAGGGAAGAGAAGGACCTTGGTTCTGATAGATAGGTTCCTATATAGTATTCCCATATTCCTGCTGATTCATGTACCCTTGCTGGATTTCTGTCCCAGCTGCTATTTCACTTACCCTTCCAGAAACCTGACAGATTTCTAGCATCTTATTCTCCTTGGACTAATGATCGCTAGGACTACCAAAACCCTCGAGAGTCAGTGAGTTCTCTACTTGGACATGATGTCACACACCACAGATTTCTGGCACTCGACTCAGCGGATTCCAGTGACTTTACCTGGGCCTTTCCATTGCTCCAGTAGCATTCCAGGGGGACGAGAGCAGATGAGACAGTTGAGCAGAGACTTGAGGTGGGGGTGAGACTGGCAAAGAAGGAGACTCAGCACATGGTTACAGAACTGAGAGGTGTGGCAGCTTGACCAGGGCAGGTTCAGAAGAAGATTTAAATGATTCAAAACTCAACCAAACGAACCACAAGAGACTCTTAAAGACAGAGAACAAACTGAGGGTTGATGGAGGGACGTGGGTGGGGAATGGGCCAGATGGGTGACGGGTACTAAGGAGGGCACTTGTTGGGATGAGCACTGGGTATTGTACGGAAGTGATGAATCACTGAATTCTACTCTGAAACCAAAATCGCACTGTATGTCAACGAACTAGAATTTAAATGGATAAATAAGACTAAATCAGATTGAGCCTTCTAAACCTGAAATCTACTTTACCTGGTCATTTTTTTTATAAGATTTTCAAAATAATCTTCATTTTCATATTCCTTGCACAGTGTTTGTGCTTCTTCTTCTGACAATACGATTGGTCTCTGCATCAGTATTTTAAAGCCTTCATCATGGATGATACCTAAAACATTCTCTAAATAAAAAGTCACATGATAAGTGTTAAACTGATGGGTTGCTGGCTATCCATACCAGACTGAATGTATTATTATGAAGGCATATAATGTCTCTCATCCTCATATGAAATTTAGAAGTTGGCAAAAATAGCTTCTCAGATTTTAAGGTGAAAAGCATTGTTAAGGTGAACGTACCAAATTATGATTTATGACGCTGTGTCTGATTTTTCGTCACACAGGAATCACACACATGCATACACACAAGCAGAGGTGTCTCACTAGTAAACCTTTTCCTTAGGTGCACATACGAGCATGTGTGTGGGTATAGACAGTAACCAAAATAACAAGTTAACACAATTACAGAAGTATGTGTAAACAGTTTATATCTTCACTAGCCCTATTTTACTTGTCCCACTTGGGGAGAAACACAATGATTGGAAACCCAAAAGTATTTCTCAGTCTCCTCCTTCTCTGGCGCACGTCCCACTGTGGAAGTCTAGAAAATGCAATACTCAACTTCTCCAACCTTCCTTATGGACAGGTGGCGATGCTGCCCAGATCTGGTCAATGATACACAAAGGACCTGGACTGGGGCTGCTTCTGAGAGAGGTACCCGGGGGGACGGCTTCCCTGCCCTACACCACCTTCGGTCCTGTCTAAGGCATTTCAGTGACATGAGGCCTGGAGCTGTGAGGCCATCTTGTAACAAAGAAGCCAAAACCCAAAACACAAATGCTGACTTGGGGCCCGGACAGCACTGGGCCCCGCTCAAAGCCAAAAATGCAACCTAGCTGAAAATGCATCCTCTCCCCTGTTGGGCATGGAATAGAGTTAATGGACTCAGCCTAAGCAAACCATTGTCAGGAAAGAGTAAAACAAACAAGAAAACATACAAGTTAATAGAGTTTAAGCAATAATTTGCTTCAGAACGAGCTCACAGACAAGAGGAGGAAAATACAGAATGTTTACATAGTTCTTGGATTTTAAAAGGTAGAATCCTGGGGTGCCTGGGTGGCTCAGTGGGTTAAGTATCAGCTCAGGTCATGATCTCACGGTTCGTGGGTTCAAGTCCCATGTCCAGCTCAATGGCGATGTCAGAGCCCGGAGCCTGCTTCCTGTTCAGCTCCCCTCCCTGCCCCTGTCCCCTTTCCTCCTCCCTGCTTCCCTTTCCCTCCTCCTCCTTCCCTCCTCCCCAGTCCCCCCCCCCACAAGCTCATACTCTCTCTCAAAAATAAACATTAAAAAAAATATTTTTTAAGGAGGAATCCTTAGAGGAGACTGAAATAATTTGTAAGGTTTTTGCATTGCTGAATTAAAAAAACAAAAACAAAAACAAAAAACGTTTTCTCATATGAGGGTACCTAGTGGCCAACAGTTTAAAAGTGACAGCAAATCCTCAAACAGTTTGCATAGGATGGCTTCTTGTCATGGCTTATGAGAAAAGCTGAGGAAAAATATTTAGGGAAAGCAAAGCTCCATAAAGTTAAAGAAACTAGACTCAATGAGCCTCTCCTTAGTTGGCACTCTCTCAGATGGGTGATCACAAGAATTACAACACAACACAGAGGGGCCTCAGTTTCCAATGATTAAAGTAAAAAGCATGGGGAGTACCACTATTTGCAAGATGGTATTGCGTTTCCTTGACCTCATTACTCGAGGATTCGGTTCTGCTTCAAATTCCAATGTAGACAAATATGATAGATATGATAATAAATATTTTATTTTGTTGCATAGTGTCCATGAGGCTTTTCAGACGTCACCTCAAGTAATTCAGTGATGCCACATTCAGTGGCAGGTGTGGGGATGCAGAGAACTCCTAGACAAAGCACCTAGCAATTGTATGGTTGCTTCGTGGAATAACCTCATCCATAAAAATCATACTTCAAAGCCTAGAGCACTTTGCTATCTTCTATCTCCTCTATCACAGACAAATCGCTAAGTCAGGTGGTTAGTAACCAAATAAATATGGAAAAACCAGTTCATTCTTTTTTAAAAAATATTTATTTATTTATTTTGAGAAAGAGAGAGAGAGAGAGAGAGAGAGAGAGAGGCAGAGAGGGAGGGAGAGAAAATCCCAAGCAGGCTCCATGCTAACAGCGCAGAGCATGACATGGGGTTTGAACCTATGAACCATTAGATCATGACCTGAGCCAAAATAAGAGTCAGACATTGAACCGACTGAGCCACCCAGGTACCCCAAAACCAGTTCATTCTTTTCTTTTTTTTAATGTTTTATTTTTGAGAGAAACAAAGAGTGAGAGCGAGGGAGGGGCAGAGAAAGAGGGAGACACAGAATCCGAGGCAGGCTCCAGGTTCTGAGCTGTCAGCACAGAGCCCAATGTGGGGCTCGAACTCTTGAACCATGAGATCATGACCTGAGCCAAAGTCGGAGGCTTAACTGACTGAGCCACCCAGGTGCTCCATGACCAATTCATTCTGATATATCTACAAAATCTTGGAAATTTTTGAGTAATGAGGGAAAATTCCACAAGTATCTAAGTGAAACAAACAAAACATAACAAAAACTGAATTATCTGCAAAGAAACAAAAACCAGGCTGAAAACAGACTTTCCTCCTCAATGCAAAAAGTCTATAGGTTTGGGGATGGGGGATTTATTTCTTAAAAATATACAGTCAGGTAAGTTTCCTTTATACACAAAGGTAACAAAAGATATTCTAAAATATGCCAGCGTTCAGAAAACAAAAGAAGTACATATCTTTTTCAAAAACGTGTTTAAATATATATGCTTCAGGTGTGTGGTGCCTGGGTGGCTCAGTCAGTTAGGCGTCCGGCTTCAGCTCAGGTCATGATCTCACGGTTTGTGAGTTCAAGCCCCACGTCTGGCTCTGCACTGACAGCTCAGAGCCTGGAGCCTGCTTCGGATTCTGTGTCACCCTCTCTCTCTGCCCCTCCCCAGTCACGCTGTCTCTCTCTCTCTCTCTCTCAAAAATAAACATTAAAAAATTAAAAAAAAAAAATATATATATATATATACACACACACTTCAGGTAACAGAAAATATAACTAAGTGATTAAAAAGTGGGAAATTAATAGATCTAAGGACTGTGGGAACAGGAAAACCAATTTATATAAGAAAAATTCTAAACATACCCGTTGTAAACCTGACCATAAACAAGATATAAATTGCAAAATATTATCAAAAGATAAGATATGCATCGTAAAAGTAACATCATCACCACCATCGGTATACTAAAACTTCAAACAACAGTCACAAAAATTAAGACCACAGATATTATAACTGGGGTGGGATTGAGCATGGAGAGAGGAATAAAACTCTGCTACACTCCATCTTGTGGGATGGAGACTTGGGAGGATATCCCCATTTTAGGAGGCTTCTTCGTTTTGATTTTGCTTTTTCCCTCTCCTGGACCTACTAGAAGGCAAGCCCCAGCTGTGAAATGTACTGTGAAGGGAGCGGAGGCCCTGCAAGCACCTAAAACTGAGAGCAAGTCCTTCCCTCTGACCAGTGAGACTGGGAAGAGGGGCCTCTGTGGACTGAACAGTGTGGGAAAAACCCTGTTACTTTTTTTCTCACCCCCACTTTTTTCTCACATTTAGGAGGCAGTCCTAAACGTGGGCTGTGCCCAATCGCACAGGGAGGCTAAAACCGCATATATCCATCCAGAGGACAAAGAACAGAGGCTTATGAGACACAGCCAGAGATGATGGGGACTGGGGGGGAAAGCGACTGACTAAACCTGTGTTTGAAGTAGTGAACTGACCCCCCCCAAGCAATGACTATGGTTGGGCTGATAAGTGGCAACTTAGTGGCTTGAGAATTGAACTTCAGTATCGAGCATCACCTAGGTTTCCGAGTGAGCTCTAAGCTGTGAAGTCCAGAATAGCATACAAAAACTTTGAAAATGCAACTGACATTGGAAACAACCCATAGAAAGTGGGATGGGACATGTGGTCTTAACCTGACCAACTGACTTCTGAAACAAACAAGAAGTCAACATTCTCTAGAAGACTTTAACACGATTCATCAGTCTCATAACAATACTCAAGTGACCAAGAACTAAAATACAATACAAAATTATGCAACCTATAAAGAACTAAGCAAATCTTGGGGCACCTGGGTGGCTCAGGCAGTTGAGCATCCGACTCTGGACTTCAGCTCAGGCCATGATCTCATGGTTCGTGGGTTCGAGCCTCACATCAGGCTCTGAGCTGGCAGTGTGGAGCCTGCCTGAGATTCTCTCTCTCCCTCTCCCTCTGCCCCGTCCCCTGTGTCTCTTTCAAAGTAAATAAATAAAAACTTAAAAAAAAAAAAAACTAAGTAAATCTCAAGAACTCCAATGTAGATATTGAAATATTCAGATAAAGAATTTGAAGGAGCAATTATAATGCTCCATGAAGCAAGGATGAACACTCTTGAAATGACTGGAAAGATGAAAGTTCTCAGCAGAGAAATAGCAGTTACAAAAATGAACCGAATGAGGTGTGTAAAACTGAAAAACATTACAACTGAAATAAATATTCATTGGATGGGCCGAATGCCAACAAGGAGATCACAGATTTCAATTTTAAAGCTAACACAAGTGAAATGATCCAATCAGAACTACACAGAGAAAACAAATTTAGGCCAAAGCCTCAGGAGTCTGTAGGACAATGTCAAAATATCTAAAATTTGTATCTTTGGAGTCCCAGATGGTGAAAAAATTGGCACGGAACAAATAATTTAAAGAAATAATGGTGGAAAATTCCTCAAATTTAGTGAAAGACATTTATAGATTCAAGAAGTTCAAGGAACCCCAAAGTCAAAGATAAGCTCAAAGAAAAGTATACTCACATGCATACTAATAAAGCTGTTAAAAACCAAAGAAAAAATCTTGAAAGCAATCCCCAAAATAAATAAACAAATAAAAAGCTATATTACATATAAGGAAAAAAATGCTTTGAATGACCATGGATGTTTCATTAGATACAAGTAAAGCCAGAAGGCAGTGGCACAACATTTTTAAAGTGCTGAAGGAAATGAACTGGAAAACCAGCATTCTATATCAGTACAAATATCCTTCAGGAATGAAAATAAAGACGTTCTGGGGCACCTGGGTGGTTCAGTCAGTTAAGCATCCGACTCTTGGTTTGAGCTAAAATCATGATCTCATGGTTTGTGAGTTCAAGCCGTGCATCGGGCTCTGCACTGACAATGTAAAATCTGCTTGAGATTCTCTCTCCCTCTCTCTCTCTCTCTCTGTCCCTCCCTGCCTTGTGCTCTGGCTCTCTCAAAAAATAAACTTAAAAAAAATTTTTTTGAAAGAAAGAAAATAAGACATTCTTTGATTAAAGAAAACCAATTGAATTTATTGCCACCAGACCTGCTCTTAAAACAAAAAGTGCTAAAGTTCTTTGAGTAGAAGGGAAATGATATCAGAGAGAAACGTGGAACTTCCAAAAGGAATAGAAGATAACAGTAAATATCTGGGTGAATATAATAAACATTTTCCTCCTCTGAAGTTCTTTAAAAAGTCAGCACTGTTGAAAAGCAAAAAATTACAACACAATTTTTGGTGTCTTAAGTGCATATTGTTAAGTGAAAGCAATCAGTCTGAAAAGGCACATACTCTATGATTCCAACTGTATGACATTCTGGAAAAAGCAAAAACTAGAGACAGCAAGAAGATCAGTGGTCACCAGAAGTTGGGAGGGAGGAAGGGAGAATAGGAAAAGGGATTTTTTTAGGGCAGTGATTCTATTCTGTGTGATACTGTAAAGGGGATACATGACATTATGCATTTATTAAAAACCATAGAATGGGGGCGCCTGGGTGGCTCAGTCGGTTGGGCGGCCGACTTCGGCTCGGGTCATGATCTTGTGGTCCATGAGTTCGAGCCCCGCGTCGGGATCTGTGCTGACACCTCAGAGCCTGGAGCCTGTTTCGGATTCTGTGTCTCCCTCTCTCTGACCCTCCCCCGTTCATGCTCTGTCTCTCTCTGTCTCAAAAAATAAATAAACGTTAAAAAAAATTTTTTTTAAAAACCCATAGAATGTACAAAACAAAGAGTCAACATTATTGTAAACTATGAACTTTAGTTAATAACATTTCAATACTGGTTCATTAATTATAAAAATATTTCACCGTAATATAAGGTGTTAATTGGATAAGCTGTTGGAAGGGGGTGGATAGGGATATGGAAACTCTGTACTATCTTTCTTAATTTTTCTGTAAATCTAAAACCTTTCTAAAATATGGTCTGGTTATTCAAAAAATATGTCCATATTTTAAAGGATTTAAGAAGGAAAACAAAGCTATGACATTCTAACGAAGAAAATTCTAGGCCCAGATAAGTTTCCCTGGTAAATTCTAATAAACATTTAAGAAAGACGTAACATGAATTATACATGATCTCTTCCAGAGAAGAGGACTGACAACTTCTTATCTCACTTTTATAAGGCTTGCATTACCCTGACACCAAAACCAGATAAAGACACTACAAGAAAGGAAAACAACAAATATTTCTCATGAATGTAGACACAAAACGCCTCAACAAAATATTAAAAAAATCAAATCCAGCTATTTTTAAAAAGAACAATATACAACCAAGTGTGGCTTTTCTGAAGGACGCAAGGCCGGTCCAACATTCAAAAATCAAAGTAGTTACCGTATTCTCAAACTCAAGAAAGTAAAATATAATCAGATCAGTAGATACAGAAAAAATAATTGAGAAAACACAATATCTATTCATGATATTAAAAAAAAAAAAAAAAAAAAAAAAAAAAAACTCCCCAAACTAAAAACAGATGGGTTTTTAAAAATTAGGTGAGGGGTATATTAGAGCTAATGTTGTGCTTCACGGTAAAAGACCGAGGGCTTTGCTGTAAGGTAAAGTATAAAGCAAGCCTAACATCTTGCTAGCATCCACAGAGAGTTCTAGCTAGTTCAATGAGGTAAGCGGAAGACACTTCCAAAGAAAGAGGTAAAACTGGCTGGATTTGCAGATGGTATTACTGTCCCCGTCACGGGCTCTTGGCCTGATATTTTGTCCTGCAAGGGTGCGTGTGACAATGTCTGGAGATATTTTTGGTTATCGCGCTGGGGGCGGAGAGGATGCTAGTGGCATCAAGTGACTAGAGGCCAAGGATGCTATAAACATTTTACAGCGCACACGATAACGCCCCTTTCAACAAAAGAATTATCTAGCCCCCAACGTAAGTAGGTCTGAAGTTGAGAAACCCTGGTCTACATAGAAATTCCTAAGAAAATTACACCAAAGCTTCTAGAACCAAGTGAGTTTACCAAGTCAAAGAACATAAGGTCAATATACAAATATCAACTGTATTCCCATATACCAGTTATAAAAAAGAACTAAGAGTGTGCATGTATGGTGTGAATTCTTATTCTGTCATATTCCCCCTGCCAGGTGAATATGGGATAAGGTTAAAAATAACTAGCACCCTGGGGAGCCTGGGTGGCTCAGTTGGTTAAAAGCATCCCACTTTGGACTTTGGCTCAGGCCATGATTTCAGAGTTCACCAGACTGAGCCCTGCATTGGCCTCTGGGCTGACAATGTGGAACCTCATTGGGATTCTCTCTCTCCCTCTCTCTGCCCCTTGCCCACTCACACTCACTCTCTCTCTCGGTCTCAAAATAAACAAACTTAAAAAAATAACTAGCACCCTTCAAGTGCCAGGCACTTTATGTTTTCTCATTTTTTTTAAGTATGCTCTACTCCCAACGTGGGGCTGAAACTCATGATCCCGAGATCAAGAGTCACACGCTCCACCAACTCAGCCAGCCAGATGCCCCTCATTTTAATCTTCTGAATTTTATACATGAAGAAATAGACTTGGTAAAGTATCAAATCACACAATTAATGAGGAGGTGCATTAATTCAAGGCATTTCAGATATAAAGTCCAATCTTTATTATATAATAAGTCCTACCATATTAAAATCTACTTTAACAAATTCAAATGTTAGAAAATAATTTGCAAACTCCTTACCTACAAAAATGTGTTATTCTTTATCATTGAGAAATTAGATTAGTATTAACTAAATTTCTTATTTCAGGTGTTTTCTTCAATGTTAAATTTTAAAATAATAGCCTTTGATGCAATTATACTAGGGTTTATTTATACTTATTTCTTACCTTTCTTTTCTTGAAAGAGATCTGGTCGAAGTAATGCCAGGATCTTTTCTAATTTGAGGTTTTTCATACTTTTAAAATCAGGGAAGAACATATCAATAAACTTATTAACGTTAGCTATACCGTCTTCAATATCACAGAGCTGAGATATATGTTGTCTTTCCAGATATTCTTGTAAACTGTGGAAATCCAAAATGTAATTTAAGATTATTGTAAGCTGAAATTTAATAACCATGCCAGAAAATTAAAACTGGTAATAAGTTCACAAATACTTTAATGGTTTAATAAAATAAACAAAAATTAAATTTTCATGTAAAGTTGTATCTATCAAATAAAAAAATATGCATTTAATTCAATTTTTTGTTGAACGAATCCAAAACTCAATTACATGAAATCATGTATGTTTTGACTTTTTGGGAGGATAAAGAAGACCAACATAAAATATGGTTAAACACGTTTTTCTTTCCTTCACGTTAAGCTTTCCAGGTAGTTTCTACTTTTCTTAAGGTCGTCTTTGAGTCAAGGATCATTTAGAAGAACATGGTGTGTTTTCAAATACATAAGACATTTTGGTCATATTAAAAAAAATTTTTTTTAATATTTATTCATTTTTGAGAGAGAGAGAAAGACACAGAGAATGAGCGGGGGAGGGGCAGAGAGAGAGGGAGACACAGAAGCCAAAGCAGCCTCCAGACTCTGAGCTGTCATCATGGAGCCCGATGCAGGGCTTAAACCTACAGACTGTGAGATCATGACCTGAGCCAAAGTTGGCCGCTCAACCAACTGAGCCACTCAGGCGCCCCAGTCATCTTTTTATTGTTTATTTCCAATTTTATTGGATTATAACTAGCAAATGCGTGTGGTGAAATCTTAATTTTAAAAAATGTGTTAAGGCTTTCTTGTAAACAAAGAAAATGTATGTGTGGGATTTAAGGCTACATATATTTATAGAGTATATGTAATTCTATCAGGGCACTTTTTGATGACTATATCTACTTCATAAATGTTGCTTTCACATCATGTCCTTCTTTATTAAATTTAGCACTTGTAATGTTCAATTCTAATACTTTATTTTGCCTGGAGATAGATAGATAGATAGATAGATAGATAGATAGATAGATAGATATCCCTTTAATTTTATTTTTCTTTGTTTCTTTTTAAAAACAAATTTTTAATGTTTATTTATTTTTGAGAGAGAGAGACAAAGCATGAGCAGGGGATGGGGCAGAAAGGGAAATACAGAATCCAAAGCAGGCTCCAGGCTCTGAGCTGTTAGCACAGAGCCTGACTCAGGGCTTGAACTCATGAACCGTGAGATCATGACCTGAGCCGAAGTTGGATGCTTAACCCCTGAGCCACCTAGGCACCCCTGTGTGTTTCTTTTGAACAGAATGTAGATGAGTGTGTTTTTAAAACTTTTTATTTTGAAAAAATTAAATTGGCAGAAAAGTTGCAAGAGTATGATAATGAACTCTAGATTTACCAACTGTTAGGATTTTGCCACATTTGTTCTCTCTATCCCTCTCATCCCCCTCCCCTCTCCTGTGTGTGTGTGTGTGTGTGTGTGTGTGTGTGTGTGTGTGTGTGTGTGTGTGTGTGTGTGTGTGTGTGTGTGTGTGTGTCTGTCTGTGTGTGTTGACTGAACCATTTAAAAGTAGGCTGCAGATATTTTAACCATTCACCCTCCTAAATACTTCAGGAAAGTTTACTTGATATAAAACTTTTATCTCATAAACTGCTCATATTCAAATTTCACCAATCATAAAATACTGTCCCATCAATAGTAATTTTTCCTAATCCTGGACCATACATTGCATGTAATTGTCCTATCTCCCTGGTCTCTTTTAATCTCTAACAATATTCAGCCTTCTTGTCTTTCATGATATTGACATTTTGAAGAGTCCAGGCCAGTTGTTTTGTGGACTATTCCTCATTTGGGATGGTTTCAAACTACTGGATGGACCAATAGTTTCCTATTACTTTCAGGATACGAATCTGTGTCCTTGTCACAAGATGATATACGCAATGTAAGTTTTTCCTATTGTTGGTGTTATTAATGTAGTTGAAGTAATATCTCCCTTCAAAGCGTTTTCCCCATTGAAAAGCTACCATTTCCACTTTGTAAATAAGAAGAAATCTGAGAGGACACAATCTGAAAGTGTATATATTTTTCACGCAATGGTTTTAGTGCCCATTGAGGATTCTCCTCTGTGTCAATTGTTACTATAATGGTTTTTAACTTGTTTTTAACTTTAACCTTGTAATCTCTGTATTTAATGGGATAATTAACCTTTTCATACTTAGTATAATACCCATATACTTAACTATATTCCTTCCATCTTACTTTATATATACTATTTATTTTAAATTATACTTTCTTCTTTTTTCTTTCTCCCATCTGCTGGTCTGAGCAAGTTGCTATCCATTCCGTGGTATTCCCTTGTTAACATAGAGGTCCCATGTATCCTCATCCACTGCCTTAATGGTCACCATCTTTAACCTGCTTCCGTAACCAAACGCATATGTTCTGAGTATTTCCTGCATCCTGGCACACACTATTTCTCAGCTCTAACACTCCACCCATCTCCACTTCTGCAAACTCGAAAAAGAACCTTAAAATGCTGTGTTACTTCTTCATCTCGTCTTTCTCCTCTCTGAGGAGAATTGTTTCCCTTCGCTTTTTTCCCTCAGATGGAAGTATCTCTTTTCATTTTTTGTTTGGACAAGTCTTCCCTCAAATATCTTCCAGGAGATATATTCCTAAGCATGTCCCTGAACTTTTTCCTTTGTTCCACTAGGTAAAGGATATCCTGGCTTCATTAAGATGGGGGAGGGGGTCTGTTTCTCTCAGGAGTCTGATGACAAGTCCCATGCCAGCCAGAGATTTGTCCTTGTAAGTAACTTATTCTCAGTTGCTGCCAGACAGGCAGTTGGTGTAAAGGGAATACCTAAAGTGCAAGTCACTGGGGGATGCACTGTCTCTAAGAAATTTTAAACCATTTCTTTTATTTTTTTTTTAATTTTAATGTTTATTTTTGAGAGAGAGAGAGAGAGAGAGAGAGAGAGAGAGAGCAAGCAGGGGAGGGGCAGAGAGAGAGGGAGACATAGAATCCAAAGGGGGCTCCAGGCTCTGAGCGGTCAGCACAGAGCCCAACGCGGGCCTCGAACTCACGAACTATGAGATCATGACCTGAGCTAGAGTCGGACTCAACCAACTGAGCCTCCCAGGCGCCCCTTAAACCAATTTTTAAACTAAAAGTTGGGCTGCTTCTTAGCATCACCATGCACCAGCAATTCTAAATAGCATTAGTGGTATGTTACTACTCCTCCTTGAAAAAACAAAAACAAAAAACTTTTCTCCACATTCTGAACAATTCCTGTGGTTATAATGTGTTTAATTTTAATAATATATGTGTGGGCTTCAAGTTGGCATTTTTATTATTTACATTTAATAAACAGTGTACTCTAGCTTCTACTGTGCATATAAGAATCAATTCTAAAATAAGAGCTATTGGCAGATTTCAATTTCTGGAATTTATCAGGAAACAGGAATTTTACGTATCTCTATTGACATCCAGTGAAGATCAATTTTGAGAATGTCACTAGCAAATCATCAAAACTTAAGGCTTGCAAACAAAAATTGCACTTTGTTTCTGTGATAGACTAATATATATAAGTATGCAAATGTTTTCCTTTCTAAGAAAACATATTAATATAATTAAACAGTATTAACCTATTGTTTCATTTTTGATATTAAAATATTCATTTTTTACTTTTTGCTTCTATGTTCATAGATACACAAAATTTTGTAAAGGACAATTTTCACTATTTATGGGGTTTTTTTCTGGCTATTATCGTCTTGCTTAATAGCTAGTACTAAAAATAATATTGTCATGGGCCGCCTGGGTGGCTCAGGCAGTTGAGCGCCCGACTCTTGATTTCCGTTCAGGTTGTCATCTCACGGTTGTGAGATCCAGCCCTCTCTCGGGCTCCATGCTGGTGGAACCTTCTTGAGCTTCTCTCTCCCTCTCCCTCTGCCCCTCCCCCACTCACTCACACTCTCTCCCTCTCAGAAAAATCCTTTAAAATTTTTATAAAAATAAAAATAATATTGTCATATAGAGGAGAGGGGTGTTAAGGAAATTATCTGCTTGGGGTTTTGGACATCCTAAGGACACCACGGGCTGTTCTTTGTCTCTGGAAATGGCATACAGTGTGTCTTCCCAGGATATTCCCATATCTGTGTTTCTCTGCATCAGTCGAGACTGGGCCACCGTAAACCCTTTCAGTCGGCAAATGCATGTGTTTCTTCGTTTCAGGAAATTTTTTCCCTATTATTCGTTGAGTTATAGCTTGTTCATCTGTTCTTTCTTTTCTGTATGGAATCTCTCTTATTAGCACATTGATCTTTCCAGTACATTCTCCACGTTGTTTCTGGTCTGCTCTCATGAAGTCTGTCTCATTTTTTTTCTGTCCTTTGAGCTACTTCTTGTATCTGATTTTCCAAGGCATTAAACCGAGTCTCAAATGACTATCAGACTGAATTTAGAGTTCAAATCATAATTTATTTTATAGTTCAAATGAGAAGTCTCTTTTTATGTGTATGTAGCACTTGGATCGCAAGTATTACTATGATGATAACTCCTATTACTATTATTTTACTTGAGGACTTTTCTATCCTTAGTAGTTCTTTCTCACTGGGCTTGTGTTCTGGTGTTTGTGTAGATCTTCCTTTGGCCACTAGGCTCCCCTTGGTAGACAGTCATTTTTCTTGGTTTGTTTACTGGGACTTACACCTGGTTTTGAGTGTCTTAGGTGATGGAAACCCTATGGCTGAAAGGCCAGAATGACCTCTAGGCTACCAGCAAGCAGGTTGTTGTTCCTCTGGTAAGAGCCATTATGGAGCTGGTCCTCAAAGGCAGGGCATTTCAGTAATCCCACTCAGCTCCATCTTGGGCTTTCAGAGGGTCAGGAAGGCCCAGTGAAGTTCAGTGTCAACCTGGCCCCGGGAAGTCACAAGTCTGTGTTTGTTCTTCCCAAGGCTGGTGGTTTTCTCCAGATTCTTGTCCCCCCTGTGACCTGTCCCCTCCCCTTCTCTTTCGTTCTGTACACAGAGCTCCAGGCCTCACCTGTGGCCAGATGCTTATTAGTCCAGGTTCCCTTTGATTCCAGAGAGGCAAGAAAGGTCTGGAGATGGGAATAGATAGTAGGGGTATAGTATTCAGACTGCTCTGATCCCAGAAATACTTTTAAAGATTATTTTAGAAATGGTACCCATTGGGGCGCCTGGGTGGCGCAGTTGGTTAAGCGTCCGACTTCAGCCAGGTCACGATCTCGCGCTCCGTGAGTTCGAGCCCCGCGTCGGGCTCTGGGCTGATGGCTCAGAGCCTGGAGCCTGTTTCCAATTCTGTGTCTCCCTCTCTCTCTGCCCCTCCCCCGTTCATGCTCTGTCTCTCTCTGTCCCAAAAATAAATAAATGTTGAAAAAAAATTAAAAAAAAAAAAAGAAATGGTACCCATTATCTTTAATTTAAATGAGAGTTTTATAAAAGAAAAACCTGCTCTCTACAAGCTATGACATGTATAGGAGATAAATAGGTTACTAAGAATACAATAGACACTTTGTGTGGCCAGAGAAATGCAATATATTATAGGAGGTCGGAACTATCATCTTTAGTCAGTCATAAGGATTTAGAGCAAAAGGGACTTTAGAGATCGTTTAATTTTCACCCATCTCTGTATCCCCAAGACTTGGCACATAGTAGGACTTTAATAAATACTACATAAAGGAAGGATGCATAACAGAATAAATGAGTGAATGAAGGAAGGCAGGAGTGAATGAATTAGTGAAAATGGCCAGGAACTACTTATATGACTCTGGACAATGTAGCTAATAGAACCATGCCCTTCCTCTTCTGCAGAATGACCAGAAAGCAGAGATAAAGGACTCTGACCTTTGCGTTCTTAATATACTGATTAAGGAGACAGACATGTAAACAGATAGTATATGTGCCATAATCAGAAGTCATCATGAACAAATTTGGAATGCGGATGAAAACCATGGATGCCTGAACCATTTTCCGGATTCCTACTCCCTCCTCCCGGCCAGCCATGGGGTCCAGTGGGCAACTGACAACACGAAGAAAGTTCTCCCAAACCATGTGGGTTCACATGTGAGTTTTTCTCCATAGGGCAAACACTCCAACAAAGACGGGGAGCTCTGTTCACGTTCACAGAAGGAGGCACCTACCACTCCCAGTCTAATTGTCCTGCTTTTAATTTCCCTTCTTCCTCACCCACCAGTACTCCCTCCTCCCAATACCCATAGAGGAAGGTGAGGAGGCTTTGAGGTGGGGGAAGGGCGGCCATAAAGAAAAACAGTGAACAAATGGGTACATCATTCATGAGAGTTTTAGTTCTTTATCCTTTAGGTTTTAGATTTACTTAAAAGATGAAAGTAGCAGGGCACCTGGGTGGCTCAGTTAGTTAAGCATCCAACTTCAGCTCAGGTCATGATATCGCGGTTCATGAGTTTGAGCCCCGCATCGGGCTCTATGCTAACAGCTTAGAGCCTGGATATTGCTTCAGATTCCGTGCCTCCCTGTCTCTCTGCCCCTCCCTTGTTTGTGCTCTCTCCTTCTCTCTCTCTCTCTCAAAAATAAATAAACATTAAAAAAAAAAAAAGATGACAGCAGCTGTACACAGCCCCTGTTATGCTCTGACTCCAGAACACGAGCTGTGAAAACAGATTCCCAGACAAACGAACTTGAACCCCACCACTCCATGCTGCCTGCTGGTGGCCACTGCTCAGAGTAACGACGGGCCAAACGCAAATGGAGTCTCTGAGTTCAGAAAAGAAATACCGCAGACTTTGCCAAAGCAAGATTAACACATCTCACTCCATGCCCACCCTGCCAATTGCCTAAATTGTTCATCTGATTATGCTGGTATCGAACGTTTGGAGACAAATGCTTTCCAAAGTCAGATGTGACACAGACTTGCCCCAGAACAATGGCACCAGTGGAATACTGACTTCTTTTATGCCAGCTGCTAACAATGAGGGTTTCACAGGACATTTTTTTAATGGCTCAGAAGTCCTGGTATGAAGCCTGGTATCTTTTTGAGCGCAACTCTCCCCACCAAACCTTCCCTCTGACCACTGACCATCATTCCCTGTTAAAACTGTGAAAGTAAGTACTACTGTTTACAAAGCTCTTTGTCAGCAGCCAACTTACCTATAAGTCCCTCTATCCCACTCAAAACTTGCAACGAATGACATTAGTTCCTGCTACCTAAAAAGCATCGGTAGGAACCAGCAGATGTAGCTAGTCAAGAAAAGCTACTGCACACATTAATAGGACAACAAGGAAAGTTCTGGAGATTCCTGGCCAGAAAATGCAATGAAGATGCTCTGTCCAGCCACATGATGAAATCTCAAGACTCAGAGACTCTCACCCACCTTTCTTTCAGACATAGTTCCGATGACTCTTGGGTTAAAGTGGACTTTCTGAGTCTTGGGGGGAATAAAAGGCACAAACGCCAGTGCATGAAACCGGGACTGTATATATTACATTCATTTTCAACTATTTAAAAACCCATCAGTGAAAACATACAACCATTCAGTTCTTAGCAATTCATAACCAACTGCCGAAAGTAAGAGGGGAGAGTACATTTGATGTCCTTAGGACCCGGGGCAAGTGGGAGTGAATGTGGGGAGACAGCAGAAAAGATAGGCCTGGCAGGGATTACACATGGTCCCAATCTATCCCTGGGGCCCCAGGCTGGGAGGCCACACTGGTGTGCCCAGCTTTAGAAAGACAAACGTAAACTCTAATCCTCTTGACATACACTTTCAGGGAAATCCCAGCTTTGCTGAATATACACTTTTTTTAGATTGACTGGAAGAAATACTTGTGGTTCCAACGTAAAAATGTGTGTTCTAAATGTGTACCTCAAAATGTGTTTGAGGTATTTGGACACTACGCTTCACTACGTCCTCATATGATGTAAATGGTCTCGAGTTACCTGTACCGCTTCTCCTTCCTCAGCGTAGGTGGGGCCACCTCATGGTGATGATCCTCATCCACTTTAGTTTCAGTCTCGGGATTGGGTTCAGTTTCTTCCCAGGCAGGCTGTTCTTCATTTCCTTGAGATATCACTAGAATGTGGCTCAGGCCATTTGTCATAAAAAGGACAAAATCTTCAAAGTCAGGCTACAAAATAAGAGGATAAACTACCTACTTCAGGCTTCTGATATGGATCGACAAAAATGGCAGCCACCACCCAACTCAAGCAACATCCTCCCCTTCACGATCACAGGGCAAGGGAGTGTTCTCTTTATAAGCCCACTGCTAACAAACACATCTTTGAAGGATAGAGGTTCACAGCTAACAGGGATTGATCTTAAAGATGATCTAATAACCATTCTCGAACTTCAGGATGCTTCCAGATCATCTACGGGGCTTGCTGAAACACAGATTTGGAAAGTCCAATCCCAGAGTTCATGATTCAATAGGTTTAGGATGGGGCTTTAGAATTAGATTTTCTCAAAAGCTCCCAGGTGATACTGAGGCAGCCGGTCCAACCTTTTCCTGGGGCCAAGAGAGATGGTTGGAGTGTCACAGCCAGCTGACAAAGTGCTGTTCACTAGAGCTTTCTCTGATGACAAAACACATTCTGTGCTCTCCAACATAGGTAGCCACATGCAGCTACTGAGCACTTGCAACTGAGACTCTGAATTTTTCATTTGATTTGGTTTTAATGAATTTAAATTCAAACGGCCACAAGTAGCTAATGGCTACCATATTGGACAGTACATTTCTGGAAGCTATGTCTTCTGACCCCTAAACCACTGAACTTTCTCGAACACAGCACTGTCTTTCTTAATACTCCCCCAGGCAAAAGACACAGGCTTTCAGATAATGAAAGGATTAAAGCTTCCCTGTGAGCCTTTATGACAAGGAGCCTTCAACCTGGGATAAAAATCTATAGGAAAGGCCTGGCTATTCACTTCCAGAGGCCAATGCAGAAAGTCTGAGAGGACATAAGTTAAATAGGTCTTCACTCCAACAAAATACAATTGGACCATCTGCTTTCGCTCAGCTGCCACTGTTTCTACTGGAGACTGCATCACCGCCTTCTTTGGCATTACCACGATATGGACCCCAACAGGACAACAGAAGCTAATTTGGCTGGTTAGACTTATCCATTTGTTTTTCTAAAATAAGGACTCAGGGGTGCCTGGGTGGCTCAGTCGGTTGAGCATCCAACTTTGGCTCAGGTCATGATCTTGCAGTCTGTGAGTTCGAGCCCCACGTCGGGCTCTGTGCTGACAGCTCGGAGCCTGGAGCCTGCTTCGGATTCTTGTCTCTTTCTCTCTCTCTGCCCACTCCCCCCCACCCCCCACTCATGCTCTGTCTCTCTCTCTCTCTGTCAAAAATAAATAAACATTAAAAAAATATTTTTTTAATAAAAATAATAAAATATGGATTCAAAATATACACTGGATTCGAAAACACAGTGGCTTTTTTTTTTTTTTTTCTAATTTTCTTACCTGGTCTGCTATTCGACTGTAGAAGTCCCTTACTTGCTGTTCAGTGAACACTCTCTTATCCTCTATTTCTATGACAAATCCTGCCTCGAGAATCTTTCAGTAGAGAGGAAGGTCAGATCCAGACGTGTTATGGGACCACATGTAAAACAAGTCAAGGACATTTGTTTCCTGTGCTTAACAGATTTGAATGAGTTTTCAGGTAAAATACTTCAATACGGTCCATAAGGTTTGAAGAGGCTTAAAAATACATGAACAAAGAAGGCCCTTTTCAGGCCTCCTATATTTCAGTTTCCAAGGCTTGAACCAGAGACTCCTCAATATTTCTTTTTTTGTTGTTGTTTAAAAAAAATTTTTTTAACGTTTATTTATTTTTGAGACAGAGAGAGACAGAGCATGAACGGGGGAGGGGCAGAGAGAGAGGGAGACACAGAATCGGAAGCAGGCTCCAGGCTCCGAGCCATCAGCCCAGAGCCCGACGCGGGGCTCGAACTCACAGACCGCGAGATCGTGACCTGAGCCGAAGTCGGACGCTTAACCGACTGAGCCACCCAGGCGCCCCTCAGTATTTCTATTATTTAAGTGACTTTCCCCAAAATGTGAAAGAACTAACTAAATTTCAAGGGAAAATATCATGTTCTGAATCATTCATAAAAACATAAATTTATAAGCATTTTTTTAACCATCTATCTTCAAAATCGTTTTAACATTTTTTAAAAGGCTTTCCTTTGTTGAGGCTTTAACTCATAATCTAGTATAGTTTATAGCAAAAACAAAAAAGAACTATCCAAATTATGGGGAAGGATAGAATTTAACATTTAGTCGTGATTTATCATTAAAAAAACCCTTAAATTAATGATAAATCCAGTTTGTGTGCCACTCAAGTATGGTAAAATGAAACAAAGAGAAGTTTTGAGACAAATAAGACAAATCTAATGAGGTACTAAATGATGAAATATAAGTATAATCCGGGTTCAAAGCAACTCAGGAATTACATTAAACAACACCAATAATTTGAGCTCTTTTTGACCTGGGAGTATCCAGCACCAGGTGCCTTTTGCTTCTATTATAAAAGTCAACACTGGGGGCGCCTGGGTGGCTCAGTGGGTTAAGGGTCCAACTTTGGCTCAGGTCATGATCTCGTGATTTGTGTGTTCAAGCCCCACATGGGACTCTGTGTTGACAGCTCAGAGCCTGGAGCCAGACTGCTTCAGATTCTGTGTTTCTCTCTGCCCCTCCCCAGTTCATGCTCTCTCAAAAATAAATAAATGTTAAAAAACAAATGTTTTTAAAAGTGTTTTAAAATAAATAAATAAAATAAGTAAAATAAAATAAAATAAAATAAAAGTCAACACGCTACTGGTTCTGCTTTCATTTGTCTTGTTGATATGGCAGAGCACGACTTACATCTTTCTGAACCCTCTTTTGACTGTCCCATTTGAATAACTTCTAAATATTTAAATCATGTCTTTGTTACATTACTTAGAGTCTGACAACAGAAAATAAAATCCAAGAAATATTTAAACTCAATAACTTCTCCTTTACCCTAATTGAAAAATATCGTCTGCTCATTTTCTTTCTATTCAAAACATTCTTTTTTTTTTTAATATGAAATTTATGGTCAAATTGGTTTCCATACAACACGCAGTGCTCCTCCCAATAGGTGCCCTCCTCAGTGCCCATCACCCACACCCCCCTCCCACTCCCCATCAACTCTCAGTTTATTCTCAGCTTTTAAGAGTCTCTTATGGTTTGGCTCTCTCCCTGTCAAAGCACTCTTTAGATTTTTTTGTCCTGTTTGTTATTAGCCCTTAACTGTATTCCACAGAGGTGAGGTATTTAGGAGATACTCATAATTTACATATCTGAAATGTTATTTACTATGTCAAAACAACAAAAAGATCAAGATGAACTTACGATTAATTGTACTACCCCAACTTAAAAAGAATTATAGAATCTTGAAAAATCATTACTGTGTCCTAGCTATTCAAACACACTCTCGAATAAGGAAGAGTAAATCATGGCATTGTGATATTATTTCTTAAAACTTTATCAAGTGTAAGAAACATATGGGGGATTGGGGTACAGTTTTGTGTCCCCCCTAACATACACACCAAAATCTGGAAGGAAAGGGCTACGCTTAGAGAGTGATATGACTTAAATCAACTCACAAATGGAAGAGACCATAAATACTATGATCATGGACCATCTACTTTAGTGTAGTTCAGTCAACGAGAACACTGCTGTAGCTAAAGAAAGAATGCATGATGGGAAGTTCATCAAGAAACCTCCAATCCCTCCTGATAGCTCCCTAGGTGACACCCTCTATTTCACAGACAACATTCTTTCAAATTTCAATTTACTGACGCTGTTTCAATGCCAAGTCATTGTTAAGGAGTCAGCAAAGTACTGCCGCGTTTTGAAATAAAGCCTGTTGGAGTGCAGCCACTCCCATTTGTATACATCCTGCTTATTGCTGCTTTCTCAATGCGATGGCAGTTAAGCAGTGGTGACAGAGATCATATGCCCCACAAACCTGAAACAGTTACTCTCTGGCCCTATACATCTGCTGACCTTTGTTTTAGAATGCAATTTTCGGGGCACCTGGGTGGCTCAGTCGGTTGAGCGTCCGACTTCAGCTCGGGTCATGATCTCACAGTCTGCGAGTTCGAGCCCAGTGTCGGGCTCTGTGCTGACAGCTCAGAGCCTGGGGCCTGTTTCAGATTCTGTGTCTCCCTCTCTCTCTGACCCTCCCCCGTTCATGCTCTGTCTCTCTCTGTCTCAAAAATAAATAAACGTTAAAAAAAATTTTTTTAAATAAAAAAAAGAATGCAATTTTCCTCTTAAAAAAATTTATTTTGGCTCTAAAGCAAAACAATAAATGCTTCCTTACACTCCCATGTATCTAAAAAGGACCCTGCATTTGTCACAACATACAGGAAACAAAACAAACCAATGTGAGCTTATAACAAGTTTGTGTTGCTAATAACTAAACAGGAAGAACATGTGTTATAATCCAATATGAGGGCTATAATTTTTATCATTAATATTGGACACTGGTAGAGCAGAATTATTTAAATAAAGATGCTTGAATAGGCCCAACCTTTGTAAAGACAATACATTCAGAGCCTTTAAAGATAACTAGCACCAGAAATTTGTTATGTTCTATTTTACTCTAAACAGTAAGCTTGTCTCTAAATTGACAATTAAGAGGTTGTTATGCTGCAATTAATTTAAAGTAAGGTTGGAAAATATCACTTACTTTTTTTTTAATTTCTAAAGATTTTCTAGCAATCACAGCATCGGGCTTGATAATAGCAATACTGTATAGTTGCTCTAGGGAAAAAAATAGAAGAATTTCATTTTCTTGACACAAAGTCTAGATAATGAAGGATTTGGCAATTAGAAATGTAAAATATGGAGTGCGTGAGTGGCTCAGTCGGTTAAGCGTCCAACCTCAGTTCAGGTCATGATCTCACAGTTCATGAGTTCGAGCCCCACATCGGGCTCTGCGTTGACAGCTCAGAGCCTGGAGCCTGCTTCGGATTCTGTGTCTCCCTCTCTCTCTCTGCCCCTTCTCCACTTATGCTCTCTCTCCCTCTCTCTCAAAAATAAATAAACATTAAAAAAAAAAAAAAAGAAATGTGAACTGTTAATGTCCAGTGAATGTGTGTCCATTGACAGCTTTGCTCTTATTACAGCATTCCAACTACCAAAGAGTTTCTGCTTAGAATCAAAGTGCAGCTCCTATCTTTGCATGCAGGACAAACATTCACAACAATTGGTGGTCCACAGGCAAAAAGAAAAAAAAAAAAGTTAGGTAGGCACTAGTTATTTTAATACAATGGATTAAAATCACACCCATGATCCATCCAGCTCAGTATCACTGATGAGTAGAGCTACAATGCAAGCAAAATCACACACTGATGGATTTGACCATCTAGAGATTTATCCACATTTATCTACACACTCTCCTGATGAGTTTTTAGTGCATAATAGCTCGCTGAGCACGCTGTTTGTCTCTGCTCCAAGGTATGAACACACACTCACACGCCTACACAGACAGTCCACACACGAGATCGTTAACTGGAAAGTAAACCGGTGTGTGGGTCATTGAGGAAGAAATTGTTTTCATGAGGTTCTGGAAGATGATGAAGGATGAAATAAGAGGAAGCTGCTGTCTAGTTAGTCACAGGGGACAGGAATGCCCGGTCCCGGGTAACCTCAGAAAGGCTTCAGAAACAGAGACCAAAGGAAAGGCAAGAGGAGCAAAAAAGTTTGCTTTTTAATAGCGGAGTCTCATATTAGCCTACCAGTCCCTTACCAATGACATTGATGTCACCACCAGTTTTTTGTTCTTGCAAGTAGTGCCTTAATGAGCATCCATGTACATGAATCCCTTGCCATTACTTTGAAGGAAATTTACTCACCAGCACTTTCATAGGGTGATTCCTCACCATCTTCCGCATCTGAGTCCACAAACGTAATTTCATGATACTGTGGAAGAGAAATGCAAGTAGAAGTTATATTTTAATATGATAGGAAAAGAATTTTTAGAACTTTTGTTTCTAATAAATATCTATAATCCAAGGGATATAAGGTAAAGTGGGAATATGTCTGCATTTATCTAACACTACTTTTCCTGATCTTCCCACTAAAATAAAATAAGGAATGTTGAAAATGATTGGGGTGGGAAGGCTATCAGAAATCATGCATACATGCTGTTTGGAAAATGATCAACAACCAAAAGACCTTAAAATTTAAGAAGAGCATAAGGAATAAAATAAGAAAGAAGCAGAGATTAATAAGTAAGAAAGCGATAAATACACAATTATCATGTTATAGATCAAACGGGCATTTGATGAGTTTCTAGATCTAATCCTGACCATTACTCTTGGTAAACTAGCAACAGCAAAAATACCTCCTTAACTTATAAAAAAAAATTGTACTGCTCAAAACAACAGCCAGTTTTCTACCACAGGGTAAAAAACGAGGAAGGATGGGGATGGGGTGCCTTAATTTTTTGAGAATCCCTTAAAGTGCTTCTGTGATTCTGTTTTAACTACTTGAAAGGTATAGACATTTACATATATACATTTTTTGGCAAGAGAATGCATAATGTCAGAGTCTCAATGAAATAAAGACCCCCAAATGTATGGAAATGACTATACTGGAAGCATTTGTTCTTACTATAATCAGGAATCAGATAATCATGCCAGCTATAACTTCAGATTGATCTGACTTTATAGTTGCTGAACGTATGCTGGCCAGCAGGGCAGCCACTAACCACATAAGATTATTTCAGCCTTGAAATGAAATTAGTCCAAATTAAGATGTGCCATAGGTGAAAACTACACAGCACATTCCAAAGATTTAATATGAAAAAAAAAAATGATTGTAGAATACCTTATTTTTATATTGAGTACATCCTTAAGTGGAAATCTTTTTAATACACAGGATTTAAAATTTGTAATTTCACTTCTTTCTTTTCTGTTGTTTTCAGTGTGACTAGTAGCATATTTTCAATCATGGATGTGGCTCACAACATGACTTGCACTTTATTACTATCAGACAGGGTTGTGCTAGACCAGACAATTAGATAAGAAAGCTAAATAGCAAAAGCAGTCAACAAAATGGAATAATAAAAATAAATATATTAATACACTTCTTACATTCACACTGCTATTAGTTAAAACAGGATTTCATCCTGTGAGGACAATCAGACCAACAACAATACAAACGCAAAACAGAGCACACATAGAGAAAGCTGGATAGAATTAAGCCATTAGGAGTTTATATTCAGGAGTCACTCTGCCTGACATGAAATTCTGGTTTCACCATCCACTAGCTGCCTGTTTCTGGGAAAATGACTCAATGTTTTTAAGCCTTGTCTTGTTGTTTGTAACTCTCTCATCATATTTCTTGAGATTCCCATTCAAGATGCCAACACAGAAGGCTCCTGAACTGACCTCCTCCCATAAACACGCCAAATCTACAGCTATATACAAACAAATTTCCTCTGAAAGAAACCCAGAGAAAGCCTGAGCAGCTCCTACCCATCTGGTAAATGAGGGGGGGGAAAAACCATATTGAAATGGGTAGGAGAGGTGGAGATACAACTCGACCATAAACTTCACCCCCACCACAGGGACACACCATTGGGAGGGAACAACCAGCATCTCCCTGAGGAGTGAAGGGTTTGGACTCAACATATAATGCCCCAGATTTTAAGACTTCCAACTGAGAGACAGGTCCCCAAAATGCCTGGCTCTGAAAGCCAACTGGGGCTTGTGTCCATGAGTCCCAGGGGGTCACGGTAAACAAACAGTTCTTAACAGGCCAGTAAGAACGGGCTGTGGCCATCCTATCAAGGCTCAGGGTACCAGCAGCTCAATGACATGCCCAATTTTTCTCTGAAAGAAGCCTATTTGAAACTCTTGAAAGCTGTAGCCTGGGAGTCAAGCTCCTAAACTAACACAGAACTAGCAGCTGACTGCAATCCTTTCTGGAGACCAGGGAGGCCAGCAGGCGCCATCTTTGTACTTTCTCTCTGCCCGGATCCAGGTGGCTGATATCCACATGAACATGGCTTGAGCACACACCTGGCACCCCACCCCAAAAGAACACATCCTTTTATAGCCTGGTTCTGGCAGCCAGCAGAGCTAGCGTTCGTGGGTTCAGCACACCCGGCAATGGATAAACCATCCGTACAGAGAATCAGTGAGAAAACACTGGACTTAAACTATATGTTAAACCAGATGGACTTAACATTTTCAACACATTCCGTTCAAAAGCAGCAGAATATACAGTCTTCTCAAGTGTACATGGAACATTCCCCAGGATAGATCATATGCTAAGCCGCATCAAGCGTCTTTTCTCACCACAATAATAGACTAGAAATAACTAGAAATCAACTAGAAATCAACTATAAAAAGAAAACTGGAAATTCACATATCTGTGGAGATTAAACAGGTTACTGAACAACCAATGGGTCAAAGAAGAAATCAAAAGAGAAACTAAAAAATACCTGAGACAAATATTTAAAACAAAATACCTGAGCCTGGGTGGCTCAGTCAGTTGAGCACCAACTTCGGCTCAGGTCATGATCTCAGTCCGTGAGTTTGAGCCCCACGTCGGGCTCTGTGCTGACAGCTCGGAGCCTGGAGCCTGCTTCCGATTCTGTGTCTCCCTCGTTCTCTGCCCCTCCCCCACTCATGCCCTGTCTCTCTGTCAAAAATAAACATTAAAAAAAAAATTTTTTTTAAAGAATAAAATAGTCAGTAATCTAAAGTATTACCTGAGGGCGAACCATTTCACCTGCTTCAATTTTCCTCTCCTCATCAATCAAGTTAATAATTTTTTGATTAACAAGTGGGGCATTTGCACCAATGATCTTGGCAATAATTTTGCCATTCTATAAGGGAAAAGAAAGCATAAAGTAAACTCATTTTCAGGATAAATCTGGAATTCAACTTGACTAAGTCACCCCATGTGGCCTCACACCCCCATCAATTCTTTGTAGCTATTACAATTAGCCATTTTAATCTTTTTTCTTCATATTTATTTATTCGTTATTCATTTTGAAAGACAGAGTGAGAGAGAGAGCAAGCGGGGAAAGGGAAGGGGAAAAAAGAGAGGGAGAGGGAGACTGCATGCTCTGAATACATACTGTCAGTGCAGAGCCCGACGTGGGGCTCGATCTCATGAACCACGAGATCATGACCTGAGCTGAAATCAAGAGTTGGACACTTAACCGACTGAGGCACCCACGCACCCGTGCAATTAGCCATTTTAAAATAAAGTATTAGTGATGTAAAAGTACATCTTGATTTAAAAACCCCAGCTCTTTGAGTTCTGCTTCCACGTTGCCTGTCCTCCTTCAGCCAAAGGCAAGGCAGCCCTGAATTACATTCAACAGTTCTGTACAGGCCTCCCAACCTTGCCTTCTCTAATTATTATTGACACTATGGCCCCTTTCATCCATCTTTCAACGTATATTTACTAAAATCTGTCTACTGGCACAATACCAGGCATGATGGCATGGAATGGCAGTCCTGGTACATGGCCTAATTACATCACAAAAAAGGAGGGAAAAAAAACTAACACAGACAAAATATGTAAAATAACAATCATGACAAGTACCACCAAGAGAGGTACAAAGCACTGGGAGTATCTACAAGAATTTGTCATGGTCAAAGAGATCAGCAAAGGTGCTTACTGATATCAGGGTTAAAATGTGTAAGATGGGTAAGAGATAAGTAGGCAAAATGGAGAAGAAAGAGTATTCTAGACAAAAGGGATAGAGATGCAAAGGTCCTGAGGCCAGAAGGGAATATGGCAAATGTGAAGGCCAGCTGAGAAAGTGAGGGGATGCCTGGAATGAGAAAAGGCCCAACAGTGAAGGGGAACCAGACCATGCAGAGCCTTGTGGGTCATGGAACAGCACAGCCTTTAACCTAAATGCAGTGGGAAGCCTTAGGCATCGTTTAAACAGAGGGAGTGACCACAATTAGAACTGTTACTTGTAGAAATCCTTTCACTTACCATGTTTAGAGTTAGAAGGGAGCAGGAGAAGATGTCTGTATACAAAGTAGGGCTATCCTAGAGGTGATGATGAGAGAGATGATTGCTCAGTCTATGGCTGTGGTGACGGAGATGGAAAGAACAGAAAGATGCAGATAAGTGTGAGAAAGACTTGGGTAATGAAACTGACAGGTCCAAGGTCTGGAGTGTTTTGGGTGTGATGTTTTTGTCAAGAAAGTAGATAAATTAAGATGTTAAGCACCAAATGAGGTGACACTTAGAAGACCACATTTCCTGGGGATGGCAGGGGAGGGGGGGCAGGTCTGGTGTTGGACCAGTCCCTTGTGAGATGCCCTTGAGACACCCAAGAAGGATGTCAGAACACCAGTTGCATACACACCTCTGGAGCTCAGAGTCTAGGAATCGGCTGAAGATGTAAACTTGAGTTCTTTATATACAGGTGGAGACAATGGAAACTGTGTGGAGACAATTTTCTAAGGAAGGTATTAGCATGATAAGATCAAAATTTACTGGCTGAATAAAGAAACGTAAACCTGCGGGGCACTTGGGAGGCTCAGTCAGTTGAGTGTCCAACTTTGGCTCAGGCCATGATCTCCTGGTTCATGAGTTCAAGCCCCGTGTCGGTCTTTGCACTGACAACACAGAGCCTGCTTCAGATTCTCTGTCTCCCTCTCTCTCTGCCCCCACCCCTGCTCATGCTCTCTCTCTCTCTCTCAAAAATTAAACATTAAAAACATTTTTTAAAGAAAGGTAAACCTGGAAAGGTGATGGAGGGGAATAGCATTCTAGGTAGGCAAAAGGGAAACCAAGTAACAAAGCCAAAAGAAGCCAATGTTTCTTTTTTTTTTTTTTTTAATTTTTTTTTTTCAACGTTTATTTATTTTTGGGACAGAGAGAGACAGAGCATGAACGGGGGAGGGGCAGAGAGAGAGGGAGACACAGAATCGGAAACAGGCTCCCCAGGCTCTGAGCCATCAGCCCAGAGCCCGGCGCGGGGCTCGAACTCACGGACCGCGAGATCGCGACCTGGCTGAAGTCGGACGCTTAACCGACTACGCCACCCAGGCGCCCCAGAAGCCAATGTTTCAAAAAGGAGGGCATAGCCACCACATTCAATACATGTGAGAGGTACAGCACGATGAATCTCAAAGTGTCCGCGTATTTAACAACAGGCTGGTAAGTGGGTACGTTGGCAACAGCAAATTTGCTTGAATAATCAGAAGGCAGATTGGATGAGTTGAGGAATTCATGGAATGTGAAAAAAAAAAGTGGAGTAAAACTAAATATGCAAACTCTTCTGAGAAATTTAGCTATGAGGTAAAAGAGGTGGGTGATAGCTGGAGAGGGGTGTGGCACCAAAGAAAGTATTACTTTTTAATTGGAAATATTGAACCATCTTCAAAGGACATTGAAAGGATCCAGGTGAGAAAGGCTTAAATAAATACTGGCATTCTAGTTACCATTCCCCACTAAAAGGAACTTTCCAACAATTCTGGGGGCCTTCTAATGCGCCTTGCAAAAGCCTTTCCTGCGGAAAGTTGCTGAAATGAATTTCTTGTCAGCTAAGGGTGGGGAGCAATACAAAGAGCCCCTGTGGGGACATTTTTTTTTTTTTAACAAGGGATGATGTGATGGGGATTGTGTGCTCACAGACTAGATTCTTAGATAAAGGATTATAGGTGTGGTTATCGCAAGGAGCGATAAAATCTGAGGCATAACTACATGAGCAACTGCTTGAGGTGCATTGGAGAAAAGTTTACGGGCAGTTAGGGCGTCAGGAATTGAGAGGCCACAGTACCGGGCAGGTTGCCAATGTGGATGCTGAAGTCCCTGGGGTGACGGCAGGACACGGGTTTGAAAGGAAGCCTTTGAGGCACACGCCAAAGTCCTCAGTCATCGACAGAACTGATTTGAAGTCCAGTAAATGACAGGAGTGCGGGTGGGGGGAGAGGAGGTTTAGCCAAATAGCTAAATTAGCAAGGAAAAGACCTCTAACTGGCAAGGAAAAGCAAGTTATCAAAGTAAGAAGAAGTAAAGGGAATACCAATTCTACTTCTGGCCTCAAGACACATAATCTGAGACACCAGTCACCACTCTGGGCTGCAGAGAAATGTGTCCTAACTTAGGAGCCAGATTTAAGGTAAGTCAAGGAAATGCAGCAAAGGCCCAGAGCCGCGACTAAAGAGCCTAGGAAGTGTGCTAATTGCTTCTCTCAATTCCAGACATTACACAATGAAAGGGTTTGTGAGCGTTGGGGGGAGAACGGGGAGAACTGAGTCAGGAAAAGAAAATTCTGAGCATTAGAAGGATGAACACTGCACGATTGGGAAGAAGGGTGGACTCCTCCTCCTGGCACTGATTGCAGATAAGAGAGCCCAGATAACTGGGCTGGATGGTCCAGTCAAGGAGGGTGGGTCTACTGAACAGGCCTGACTAACCCTGCAGGGTGATGATGGCGGTCCCAGAGCTCCAGCCTCTATGTGGCCTTACCCCTGGCCAGTCTTCCTCGGTTCCATGTTCCTAACTGCTACTGCTACGAGTCTCGTCACTGTTCCGAATACTAGCCCACCAATCCCATCTCTGGGTGTTACCCACTCTGCTTCCAAAACTTTGTCTAGGCCCAGGGTCAACGAACAGTGACCCAACACAGACACTGCACTTTGACAAAGCTAAAAAGACTTACTATCTGACCCTTTACAGAAAAAGCCAGCTGACGCCTCATCTAAATCATCAAATCCTACATGTCCAACTGAGAGCAAGATCTGAAGGCAACGTCTAATATTCAATGAACCTAGGAATTCAATTCCTTGAAATAGTTGCAAGGGACTTATTTAACAGAAGCAAAAAGTTATATCCAAGAAATGATTTTTTTTAATGTTTATTTATTTCTTTTGAGAGAGAGAGAGCAGGGGAGAAGCAGAGAGAGAGGGAGAGAGAGAATTGCAAGCAGGCTCCACGCTGTCAGTGCAGAGCTTAACACGGGGCTCCATCTCATGAACCATGAGATCATGGCCTGAGCCAAAATCAAGAGTTGGGCCCTTAACCAACTGAGCCACCCAGGTGCCCGTACCCAAGAAATGTCTTTAAATAGCTATTTCTAATACAAAAAAATAATAACAATCGAAGTATCCAATAGCAGAGGAACAGTCCAAGCCCTCCCTGGGAAGCCTTTCCTTACTATCCCCACTTTCGGGTTCTGCAGTAACTACACTCCAGGCCACATAACTTAGCTTTTAACTGTATATACGCTCCTTCTAGAAAACAGCCCTTACCATGCCTTCCTGATTATTAAAGGTGTATTTCATCACAGAATATTTGGAAAATATTAAAAAGTATAAAGAAGAAAACTCAAATATTGCATCCTTCTCCCATACATAGAAAACCGCTATTAACAATTTGGTGAATACTCTTCCTGTCTTCCTTCTACACATTTCTACATACAGAGATCAAAGCAACATATATTATAAAATAGTGATCACATAGGTATTCCCTTGTATTTCTATACACGAATACTCACAACCAATTCTCTCCTACTGCATATCTAGGAAATTTCTCATTTTTCACTCCTGTAAATAATCATTCAGCATACCAATTTCTGATTATTTCCTCAGGAAAGGTAAATCCGTCTTATTTTTCTCTTTCCTGATAAACTCAGTGTGTGGTAGTCTAACCTCCTCAACCCATTACAGGCTTCTAGAGGTCAGGTTAGCAAATATATTAATAGACAAGGAAAGACAAGGCAAAAAAAAAAATCGGCAATTATTATAATCAGAAAATAATAGTACCACGGTAATTTTACAATATTTAACTGTAGATTGGAATCTGATGATATATTTTGGATGATGAAGATACTTACAACACTAAAGAGAAAAACAGGTTCACATTTATCTCTAAATGACTGCAAAGTTACAATGTTGTCAGCTTCTGCCTGAAAAAAATATGTATGTTATATAATAATAAAAGCAGCTATATCCAGGTCATGAGATACACAAGGTTGAAAACAATGCAGATCACATAAAGTTTTTATTGTGATGTTTCCTACAGCATTTTCTGAGGACGTCACATGTGTTCTCAGGATCAAACCGTACACACTGGTGACTCAGGCCATGGGTCAGGTAGCCTCGACCTTACTTCTCACTGCTCACCTCTGTGGTACCCAGCCTGTGGCTCAACTCACCTACTTCCATTTGTCAAACCACACCCACGCTTCCTCCCTCCTCACCAGCTCTGGCCCTTCCTTTTCCAACCCAGGACAAGTGTCCCTCCTCCAAGAATCCTGTCTTGCTCCCTCCTGCTGTAAATCCTCTCCTGCTCCACCCGGAACTTTCCTGCCTCCTTTGGGGGCTCCAAGGTCCCTTTCAGCAATGCACTGCTGCCATATGGGCCTGTCTCACTTCTTTCGATCAGATCTACGAGGTTTCATCTTCCTCTTTGCACATCACCCTCCTTCTGCATCCGTCACGGAGCTTACGGGGACGTCCACTCTCACCACTGTTGTTTAACATGACACTAGAGGTCCTAGCCTCAGTAATCAGACAACAAAAAGATACAAAAGACATCCAAAGCAGCAAGAAGGAGCCAAACTTTCGCTCTTCACAGATGACATGACACTCTATGTAGAAAACCTGAAAGACTCCACCAAAGCCTGCTAGAACTGATACACAGATTCAGTCAAGTTGCAGGATACAAAATCAATTGCATTTCTATCCACCAATAATGAAGGAGCAGAAAGAGAAATCAAGGAATCCATCCCATCTACAATTGTGCCAAAAACCATAAGATGTCTAGGAATAAACTTACCCAAAGAGGTGAAACAGCTATACTGTGAAAACTATTGAACACTTATGAAAGAAACTGAAGAGGTTCCAAAGAAATGGAAAGACATGCCATGCTCATGACTAGAAGAACAAATATACTATCCAAAGCAACTGACACATTTAATGCAATCACTATCAAAATACCAACAGCATTTTTCACAGAGCTAGCACACATAATCCTAAAATTTGTATGGAACCACAAAAGACCCCAAATAGCCAAAGCAATCCTGAAAAACAAGAAACTGGAGACATCACAATTCTGGATTTCAAGCTATATTACAAAGCTGTAGTCATCAAGACGGTATGGTCCTGGCACAAAAACAGACACATAGATTAGTGGAACAGAACAGAAAACCCAGAAATGGACCTACAACTATGTGGTCAATTCATCTTTGACAAAGCAGGAAAAAATATCCAATGGGGGAAAAAACGTCTCTTCAACAAATGATGTTGGGAAAACTAAACAGCAACATGTAGAAGAATGAAAATGGACCACTTTCTTATACTATACACAAAAACAAATTCAAAATGGATAAAAGACCTAAATGTGAGACAGGAAACCATCAAAATCCTAGAGAGGAACACAGGCAGCAACCTCTTTGACATCAGCTATAGCAACTTCTTACTAGATACGTTTCTGGGAGCAAGGGAAACAAAACCAAAAATGAACTATTGGGACTTCATGGAGATTAAAAACAAACCAAACAAACAAAACAAAAAACTTCTGCAGAGTGAAGGAAACAATCAACAAAACTAAAAGGCAACCCGTGGAATGGGAGAAGATATTTGCAAATGACATACCTGATAAAGGGTTAGTACCCAAAATCTATAAAGAATTTATCAAACTCAACCACCAAAAAAACAAATAATCCAGCAAAGAAATTGGCAGAAGACATGAATAGAGATTTTTTCAAAGAAGACATACAGATGGCTAAAACACAAATGAAAAGACGATCAACATCACTCAGCATCAGGGAAATACAAAAACAAAAAACAAAACCCACGAGATACACCTCACACCTGTCAGAATGGCTAAAATTAACAACACAGGATGTGGAGAAAGGGGAACCCTCTCAACACTGTTGGTAGGAATGTGAACTGGTGCAGCCACTATAGAAAACAGTATGGAATTTCCTCAAAAAGCTAAAAATAGAACTACCCTATGATGCAGTAATTGCACTAGTAGGTCTTTATCCAAAGGATACAAAAATACTGATCCAGAGGGATATGTGCACCCTGATGTTTATAGCAGCATTACCAACAATAGCCAAATTCTGGAAAGAGCCCAAATGTGTCCATCAACCATCGACTGATGAATATTCTCAGCCATAAAAAAGAATGAAATCCCGTCATTTGCAACAATGTGGGTGGAGCCAGAGAATATTAGGCTAAGCGAAATAAGTCAGAGAAAGACAAATACCATACGATTTCACTCATACGTGGAATTTAAGAAACAAAACAGATGAACATAGGGGGAAAAAGAGACAGGGATAGGCAAACCAGAAAACAGACTCTTAACTATAGAGAATAAACGGATGTTGTTGGAAGGAGCGGGATGGGCTAAATGGGTGATGGGCATGAAGGAGGGCCCTTGTTGTGTTGTATGTAAGTGACGAATCACTAAACCCTCCACCTGAAACTAATATTACACTGTATGTTAGCTAAATTGAATTTAAATAAAAACTTGGGGGGAAACAACAAATTTCAAGTTGTTGTGAAGTGATCAATAACTGTATATTAAATATTATTGTTTTCCTCTGTATTAACATAGCATCCCTTGGCCAGCTGTCAGATCATTTGGTAGGGTCTTCTCTAAGAGATGGTTTTTGCAACCTAAGGCAATTGTTTTCAAACTGGGATTTCTGCAAGTTCCTCAACCACTGGGAAGAAGCCAAGAGAGGGTCTCAGCCCTGTCAGCCAGAGGCACTGTGTTGTAATTTTTTTTTTTTTTTAAAGCATGCTGGAGTCTACGTTTCTTCTTCTTTTTTTAAGCTTCCACAGTTTAGAAGAAAGAAAAGGAAGGAGGTAAAAGGTACTAATCTATAATATTAAAGGACAGAAGTTAAAGATTATATTTAAAAGTAGCTTAAGACACCTGGGGGGGCTCATTTGCTAGAACATCTGACTCTTGATATCAGGGTTGGGAGTTCAAGTCCCACCCTGGGTACGGAGCCTACTTAAATCAATAAATAAACAAATAAATAAATGTAGTCTAGGTATCATTATTACAGTGTTCATATTGTAGTAAAGTATTAACAATTAAAGGATTTAATAATATTATTAAAAACTAAAATAAAGAGTATTACTGAATTTTTATATATATAGATAGGTACAATGTTAGTACAAGTCTTCAAGTCTTTTAAAAGGACACATAACAAAAAAAAAAACAAAAAAACAAAAAACAACAACAAAAACAAAAAAACTGTACTGACCATTTAGCTTAGGGTGACTTCAATAGGTAATCAACCTCATAGGTCACTCCCAATGGCGGTTTCAAGACTATATTAATTTTTGTCATCCTTTCAGGGAGGTCATAGCAAGAAAACAACATTAATTTATATGAATGTCCTATTGTTGAGTGCGCTCAAGCATAACAAGAAAAACCATTCGGCGATGACGCACAAAATTTTTTGTTGTTAAATTCAACAGATGCTCGTGTTATGAGTGGTAATCTGAACATATTTTGGAAAGAACTTACTAGCCCTTCCCAGTGAGATGGCTACAGTAATAGAACAGATTCCTTGTGGAGGAGGCTGAGGAATTCTGGCTGGCTGGGGTACAACGGGAGGTCACAGTCAAAGTCGTTTTGGTTGGGAGAAAGCATTGTTAGGACCTGTATCCTCACACAGCTCTGAGCTGAGCTGAAATGGGAGCCCAACAAACTACGTGATCTAATTCTCCTTCCACCCCCATCCCTCTGCCTCCACAGCCATGCCGGGTTCACACATATTGCCCAAGTTGGTTTCTACCCAGACTCTACAAACAAAGAGGAATTTAACGCCCCTAAACCACCTGGGAACACAGCATCAAGTTACACCTTCTCTGTGTCTAAGGACTTCTTGCCTTGCCTTCCTATGCCCAAGTTCCCTTGCAGGTAGCCTGACAGGTGTGCAGGGGGCCTGCCTTGTTGTTGGTGTCTCCCCACTGACCCCAATTTCCTTTTAGACACTGAAATTTTCCCGTGATTCCTAGCCCGTGAACTTGCACTCCTACCACTTCCAGACAAACTTCTCTACTGCCAACTGCCACGACTCAAGAATTTTCCAACCCTTGATTCTCCATGACCCATTTGCCAGCTGTTAGAGCCTTCTGATATTGTCCTTTAACTTCTTTTTAAAAAAATTTTTTTTCAATGTTTATTTATTTTTGGGACAGAGAGAGACAGAGCATGAACGGGGGAGGGGCAGAGAGAGAGGGAGACACAGAATCGGAAACAGGCTGCAGGCTCCGAGCCATCAGCCCAGAGCCCAACGCGGGGCTCGAACTCACGGACCGCGAGATCGTGACCTGGCTGAAGTCGGACACTTAACCGACTGCGCCACCCAGGCGCCCCATGTCCTTTAACTTCTTATACCAACCCCTTGTCTATTGTATGTGGCAATTCCCATTAGACCCCATTCTCTGTCCTGTCAGCTCCATTTCTCCTCCCCGCCAAGGATCAAATCTCAAATCATATTCCAGATCAACTCAGGGGGCTCAGAGTAAAGCAGGCTATTATGGATCACCGCCCTTTCAAAAACTGTAACACTCTTATTTCAGAAGACAAAGTCAACCTCTGGACAAAAAGATTTAAAAATTATATATAGGGGTGCCTGGGTGGCTCAGTTGGTTGGGTGACCGACTTCGGCTCAGGTCATGATCTCACAGTTTGTGAGTCCAAGCCCCACGTCGGGCTCTGTGCTGACAGCTCAGAGCCTGGAGCCTGCTTCAGATTCTGTGTCTCCCCCACTCTCTACCCCTCCCCTGCTCACGCTCTGTGTCTCTCTGTCTCTCAATAATAAGTAGAAGAAAAAAAGTCAGATGCTGCTTAACCAACTAGGCTGGGGTGGCACCCCTTGACTATACATTTTATTAAATTACATTAAAAATCAATGTTTCTTGGGGCGCCTGGGTGGGTCAGTCGGTTGAGCATCCAACTTTGGCTGAGGTCATAGTCTCTTAGTTTGTAAGTTCAAGCCCTTCTGCTGACAGCTCAGAGTGTGGAGCCTGCTTCAGAATCTGTGTCTCCCCTTCTCTCTCTGCTGCTCCCCCCACTTTCACTCTGTCTCTCTCTCTCAAAAATAAACATTAAAAAAAATTTTTTTAATTAAAAAAATCAATTATCCTGGGGTGCCTGGGTCGCTCAGTCGGTTAAGCATCAGACTCTTGATTTTGGCTCAGGTCATGATCTCACAGTCATGAGATAGAGCCTTGCACTGGGCTCTTCACTGAACGTGGGGCCTGCTTGAGATTCTCCCTCTCCCTCTCTCTCTGCCCTTCCCCTCACTTGAGTATGTGCACACATGTGCATTCTCTCCCTCTAAAAAAAAAAAAAAAAAAAGTAAGTATAGTAAAAAAAGTAGATTCACATACCCAAGTTTTTCCAAACAACTTAAAAAGTTTGACAATTTCTGAATTATCAGTTTTTTAATTTACATTAATTAAAATTAAAAACTCAGTTCCTCGGGGTGCCTGGGTGGCTCAGTAAATTAAGCACCCGACTTCAGTTCAGGTCATGATCTCACGGTTTGTGAGTTCGAGCCCCACGTCAGCCTCTGTGCTGACAGCTCAGAGCCTGGAGCCTGCTTCAGATTCTGTCTCCATCTCTCTGACCCTCCCCTGTTCCTGCTCTCTCTCTCTCTCTCAAATATAAAAAATAAAACATAAAAAAAAATTCAGTTCCATAGTCACAGTAGTCACATTGCAGGGCTCAAAAGCCACTTGTGTCTAGTGGCCACCATATTAAACAACAAAGCTCTAAGCAGTTGCTAACTTAATGTGGATAAATTGAAGCCCAATAAGTTTAGCTGTAATATTTTAATCCCTCGTCAGTGGGTGGGAAGTGAGGGGAAAATCACTACCATTGGGATAATTGGTAACTGGGTAATTAAGTGACTGGAGACCTTCCCAATGCTACCCATTAAACAGCGTTTGCGGCTTTTATTATAAAAGACATACACTCACCATACAGTTGGGTGAAAAGAAACAGGTCAATAGACAGACCGACGTTTTTATACTTTTCCAATGTTCACACCCACGGTGAACAATTTCAATACTACAGGAATGGGATAAAAATCATGATTGTTCAGATCATTTCAGATCCAGCAGAACTAAATATATAGTAAAACTACCAAGTAAATATTGTCCATTTTGAAAAGTTGACAGGTTGTTTAAATTAAGACAGTCCTTAAGGACAATACTGAAATATTTGAAAGTATCAAGAAAATAACGGTTTAACGGAAATGACATCCTTACGACAACGAAATGCAGAAGTTCATCTTCGTTCAGTTCGTTTTTCAGTTTTCTGAATAAAGGTTGCATTGCTTTGCAAGGTCCACACCAGGCTTGGTAAACATCTATCACTGGACGACGAGAACATTTATGAAAAAAACAGAGTCGAAGAATCTAGAATAGCTGCTTATCCCAATGCTGGGGCAGGGGCAAGGGCACAGATGAGCAGGTTTTTACAGTTAGTGGGGAGGTACACTCCGTGTTGAGGGTGGTGACAGGTGCCCTGGGCAGAACTCCAAATGGCTGGACAACAGGGGAGCCCCAGTACCTGTTAGGCCTTTGTTCTGCAACATCTCATCCCACAGGCTTTGACTATTAACGACTGTCTGCAAAAAGGAAGGCACTGTGAAGAGGTCCCCAAGTGCCAGCGCACCAAGTAAAGACCGTTGGTAATGTCATACTCACCTGTAACTGGATTTCTCGCTTTTTGCTTGCCATTTATCCACTGTCACATGAAAAAAGGGAAGAAAAATAGAAAATGTTTAAGAGGAAATTTATATGAAGTTTTTCTCTATGCATTCAAAGAGGCATCTTAATGGACCGTAGAAATTTTCCTTCGGCAGTATTGAATTACACCACTCCCCTTTCCTGGGGAGAGAGGAGCCAATGCCACTAAAAGATTCCTCGCCAACTGGCTGCATCAGGCATACTGTCTTACTCTCCCAATAACCCTGAGGCAAGGCGAGGAGGTACAGTTTCTTAAAAGGGCTCTGTTTCCCTATAGTGTTATGGAGTGTCCTCTCCCCATTTCCATTTGCACACGAGTTAATTGCCTTTGACCGGACTCGTGGATCCCACTCCAGGGAGGTTTAATTTTCAGGACGAGACTACTAGTGTTCTTGAGCACAACATAAGCTTTCCGCAGCGTGAAACCAGTGAGGCCCAAACGCCACCCCCCCCCCCATTCCGTAGTGTCACGGGCGCGCAGTGGGTGACAGCAGACCCCAGCACAAAACAAAGGAGTGGCCCAGGGCATGGAAACTACATCCCAGCGAACGGTGCCGGATTCTCCAACAAGCCTTACACAGAACAGAGCCTCCTCTCGGCTACACCGCGCATTTATACGAAGGGGAAGGAACAGTCCCTGGGGATCCCAACCAGCCGTCTGGACGAGGCCCGTGACCTTTGTGAGCACAGCTCCGACAGGTCCGAGTACCTGGGCGCGGAACAGGTGCCCCGCTCCGAAGAGCTTTCAGCCCGCGCAGGTCCTGCGGAAGAGGCCGGACACGGTCCCCGGGACCGCCCCGCAGGAGGCGTGGCCAACGTCTGCACCGCCCCTCCAGGGCCGCGAGACTGGCCCTCCCCCGCGGGGGCGGTGCCTCGAGGCATCCTGGACTCTGCGCGCAGGCCCAGGGCGGCGAAGCGCGCCCGCCCTGGAACCGCCGGTTTCCTGCGCTTCCCGAGGTGAGATCCCCCAGCCCGGTGCTGCTGCGCCTGCCCGCTGAGTCTCCGGGCAACGCCCTCCGCTGCGGGTGCGTTTGCCACTTGCAGGTTTGATCGCAGCTCTCCTGGGCTTGACGCCTTCCACCGCGGGGCCTGATTTACAGCATAAAATGTGTGCTCCTCAGGTTGGAGTGGAAGGCTCTCTGAAGCCCAGCCTCAGCCTGTCTCCAACATCGGCACCTATCCTGGCTCTTCTTCTCCTCCTCTTCTTTCTTTGCCTTCTCCTTCTTCTATTATTTGGAAATAATTTTAGACAGAGCTCCCATACACCCTGGGACGACCAGATCAATAGGCTTATTGGAAGGATGAACTAGGGTATCTACCATGATTACTTTTGAAATCTAGTCAGTTAATAAACGACTACTTTCAAATCGAAAAAAAAAATGCTAACTTCCCGCAAGTTTTATTAGTTTCCTACAATGAATACTTTTCAGAGATAATGTTTCTGAGCCATCCTTAGCCACCCTCTCTCCGGTGGTCTTGCTTTTTTTCCCCATTGCCCCGGTAATGAAGTTCTTTCTCTTCACCATTCGTCAGAGTGAGTTTGGCTCTATTTTGAAAAATAGGGTGAGTGGCTGGCTTGATCTGGGAATTCTTTGTGTCCGCTTTTCACTGGGGAAGAATTCTCTAGTATTATCTATGGCTGGAGTATAGGTTGTGTGCATAACTTCCCTGTTCTTAGCAAGTTTCACGTGGGTCGCTCTGTTCTACCGAGGTGGCATCTTTCTTGTGACCTTTTCATTTCTGTGGTTTGCAAGAGAAATAACTACCAGTACTCCCTACTAGTGTTCATCTCAGTTCTGAGCAGCCTGTGGGAACACACCTCCCATCAGCCCTGCCACACTCACTGTTTGTCTTTCCAAAATGCTTAGCTGTTTCTTGATGTTAAGCTGTTAGTTACCGGATTTCTGGAGTCCATCTCACAAGTTTTTGTGGTTTCAGCCCAGAAAGCCATCTGGTAAACCTCTGGGGAACCTAAGTTTTCCTGTGGGCTCCTGTTGACAGACAACAACACAGGTGTCACAGAGGAGGTGTCACAGACTTTCCTCTTTAGTGATCTCTTTCTAATGCCAAATAGTGGGTTGGACCAAAGAACAACTCAGGGTCAATTTATTGACAACCTGATCTGGTGAAATAGTAGTTACTAGAAATATGTGACAGTCCTTTTAAAATGCCAGATGGTGATGTGCAGGGATATTATATATACTTCATATGTATCCTTAATAGGGGAACATCCTATTAAGAAAGCATTCTATAAGTAATCCTGCTCATCTATTTGGTTCACTCCGGGAATGAGGATCCTGTCTACAAAGGTCCATGGTATCCCTTCACCTTTTAGTTATTTCCTGCATCCCAAGTATGCCCACATTGGCTGGAAATCTTTTGTTAATAAAATGTTTTGCTTACCCCAAAATACATCATTGAGCCAGCACCTACATAAAGATTTTAGCAGGTGCCACAAATATTCATGCACTAATTTCAAGCAAACTCTTCACATACTTTTGCTACTTAAGGGAAAACATCATTGATAAATCAAGAAGTTCCAGTCTATTCTGAAATAAGCACAAACATTTACCAACGATCAAGACATGCAAGGCAAAAGGTGAACTCAGGTTTTGAAACATCATTCCCATTAACTGCAAGAAGCTTAAATGTTGAAGCTCTGAAACATAAACTTGGTGAGCTTTTGCCTTGGGTCTTTCCAGAATGGACTTCAAGGACAAATGCACTCTGACAATGTTACTTATAAGGGATCGTGATGATTCTGGAACAGTACAGAAGATCCCACAGCATGCTAATGCATGTAGGCTTTATAGGAAAACTTCTCAAAGTTTAAAATGGGAAGGTTTGGGGGCACCTGGGTGGTTCAGTCAGTTGAGCATCTGACTTCGGCTCAGGTCATGATCTCACAGTTCGTGAGTTTGAGCCCCGTGTCGGGCTCTGTGCTGACAGCTCAGAGCGTGGAGCCTGCTTTGGATTCTGTGTCTCCCTCTCTCTCTGCTCATCCCCTCCCCCTTTCTCTCTCTCTCTCTCTCTCTCTCTCTCTCTCTCTCTCTCTCTCAGAAATAAACACAAAAATTTGTAATAACTGACTGGGTGGCTCAGTCGGTTAAGCGACTGACTTCGGCTCAGGTCATGATCTCACGGTTATGGGTTCGAGCCCCACGTCAGGCTCCATGCTGACAGCTCAGAGCCCAGAGCCTGCTTCGGATTCTGTGTCTCCCTCTCTCTCTACCCCTTCCGCACTCACACTCTGTCTCTCTATTTCTCTGTCTCTTGAAAATAAACATTAAAAATTTTTAATAATAAAAAGAAATAAAAAATAAATAAAATGGGAAGATTTACAACAGATGAATGACATAAAAAGGTTGCAATTCTTAAGTAATAATAATAAAACTAATGTGACATCGGTGTGACAATTGGAATAAATGTAGTTGGGGAAGTGAAACCAGAGATAATAAGATCGAAGTCCATTGCAGCAATCCAGGAGGGCTGGGCTAAGGGCCAAAGTGAAGGCAGAGATCACAGATAAGGGGCAAAAAAGACTTAGGAGACATTTGGTGTTAGTATCAACAGGATCTGGGAAGTAGCACTTCGCAGGGATGAGCAAGGAGGAGAAACCACAGAAAACTCTATAAAGTTTCCAATTTCAATGAGTGAATAATGAGGGATGTAAAAAGAGCTATCAGAACGGGAGGGAAGATCACGAGTTCAGGGATTTTAGTATGACAAAGTGGAAGGAGAAGACTAATGAGTCCAACCATTATTGACAGTTAAATCAGGGTTATTATGATCCATGTAATTAGTGAATCCCAAGGGAACAATAGGGCAAAAGTCCTTGAGTAATAGTAGGATGAAGCTTGCTCTGCATGATCAGTAATTTATGGATATATAATGCTTCCTACCTTAGGGCTTTTTCTAACTGCCCCCTCATACATTTTTGTGTGTGTGAAATTCCCATGAGGCAGTATTGGGTAGTGGGGGGTCTTTGTGACCTTGGTCAGGTTTCTTCACCTCTCTGTAGTCTGGTGCTGTTACTGGAGATAATAATAGAACCTATTTAATCACTTTTGTGAGGATCCAATGATTTAAATTATACATATGGCTCAGAACAGTCTTCAGCTTATGGTATACATTCAATAATTGTTATCTATTGTCAGGCAGAGATATAAAGCTAAAATATTTCAATTAGCACTCCTGTGTGGACACCTTATACATCAATCTATCTAAAACCTGCCAAAGTACCTTTCCACAAAGATTTCTATCACTGTTAAATTGAATGGAGACTACTGCTCTAAAGAAAATGCATCAAAGTTAAAAAAAAAAAAATCCTCCCCCTACTACAGGTGTATATTGACCTTGTGATAATGATGTACTTAGCTCCTGCATCATTTCTTCTTAAGGGGGTGCCATGCTTTCTCCTGTAATCTACTTGATATTTCTACGCTAAATGGCCCAATGGAAAAATCATGTGGAAATAGAAACTTGAAGTCCAATTTCAAGACACATGCGCACATGTAATAATTAGTGAATTTTTTTAAATTCTCCCCCAAATCTAGAATGAGTTGGAAGGATTTTTCACAGAGGGTGATGGAGTTACATCGGAACCCCTTGCTGGATTCTTCAGTGCTCCGGTGTGATGTTGTCCTGGCTGAAGCTGAACCTCTGGCCTTGCTCACAGGGAAATGGGGAAGGTGGTGAGTCCTCCTTATGGATGCGTATGTGGCCATGTTTACCTTTTGATCTAGCACCCCGATGATATTACTGTCAACATCTCTGCCTCTGCTCCCCACCTTATTATTTGTTTGACTCTGTTGAAATTCATGAAATCTTTTCTTTCGTGAGAAGGGCAAGAGGACATTTGAGTTGGGGTAACCCAAGACAATGGAGAGAATGGGAGCTTCCATTTCCACTCTGCCCTAAGGAACGGATTTGAGTTCTCATGAGATACTAGCCACCTTTGTTGCAGGAAACAGGATGCACCTCACATGGAC